CCCCCCCGACCCCATCTGGTCATCTGGTTGATCAACGCTGGCGTGGTTGTCTACTGTATCATCAGCATCATCTCCTTCGTCGAAAAGTGATCCTGGCGTTCGATCCCCTTTCGTGGATCAACGTTGGTCTCGTGGCCTACCTTGTACTCGGTCTCGTTGCTTTTGTCCAAGATTTCTGCTATCGCGTTGCTCGTCGGGTTCGAAGAGGCGAATGGCATTGGGGGCGAACTCCCTGACGTGACGCTGAGCACACAACAGCAGGTATGCCTATGCGTGAGGCCACAAGAGCATCAGTGACGCATTCCATCTTTGCCCCACTTCAGACTTTGCATCCGACTGAGTGTGAGGTGCAAGTTGAATGTTCTTCTCGCCCTTCGAGCTCATCATTGGATTACTGGCGGCGGCCAACGTCTGCCTGTCTATGTGTGGTTGCACCAAGATGCGGTCATTGAGACACGCTGAAGCAGAAGTTGATTAAGCAGCTGCCTGGCGTCTCCTGTCGTCCCTTCGGCTCTGGCCCCCCTGACCCCAACCAAAGCCGAGATGATTCTTTTTGCCCCTTGATCCCATCTGGCTGATCAACACTGGAGTCGTTCTGTTTCTCGTCTCCGCCTTCCTACCCCTCGGAACTTCAGCTGCTTGTCTGCGCCCCGATCAACGCTGATGTCGTGGTCTTTCTCCTCGTCGGCATGATTCGGTTTTGATACCTTGTTGAGCTTATCTGCCATAACATCGAGGGCGGGGGGTTGGTGCTCGCATCTAGCCGTCCGTGGGCTCCAGGCTGATCAGCCTGACTCTCATGGTCATGCCGCCGCCCGTCTCATAGCAGTCGGCTCCGCATCCTTCGTGTTGACCCCCATGCTCAACCCAGAGTTCCGGGGAATGAAATCGCCTTCACTAAGACATCTCTCGGCAATCGGGCCTTTAGTGAATTCTCTCTGCTCGGTGGAGAAACGACGCCTCTCTCGGCGGAGACTCTCGACAATTTGCCCGTCTCGCCAACGCCAGCATTGCTGACGGCCACCTGTTCGCTCGAGGCACACCGCAGCAGGAGAGCTGTCTCGGCAAGCCAGCGGGCTGCAGGAGGCCAGAATTTAGAAGGCCCACACACAGCTGACCATAGAAGCTCAGAGGCACAGCCGGCCAACGATCAAGACGAGCACAGATGCCACTGTCAGTGTGTCTCCTGGTGATGGCACTTAGGCTGAGGCCAATGGCCAAGACGACTGGGCAGACGTCAACACTGCGCACAATTACCCGGGAGAAACATCACATCGACACCCGTTCTGAGAGGCTGGCAGAATGCAGGAGCCTGCTCCGACCTGAAGGTCTTCTTTCCTGTCTCGGTGAATGCAGTTCCTCGGTGGCTGATGCCGGCCTCTGATGCCCCTGACCACTTTTGGGCCTCAGCCGGCCAGTAACTAAGCTGCCCTGCGTTCCGGGCAGCACACTTCAGCGCGAGGGAACTTGTAGGGGAAGTCATGTCTCGGTGGGTTGCAGGTGAACGAGACACAGTGATCGACAAGCACTCCAGCAGCTGAGTGGGGCACAGCTGCACGCTGCGGCGGCCGGGGCGTACAAGCGGCGCAGAGGCAGTCGATGAATGGAAAGGGGGCCGGGCAGGGGGGTGGGGGCGGATGGATAGGGAAAGGAAGGGAAAGGCGGATGGATAGGAGGTATTTGTCTCTTCGCTATATATAGCTGTCCAGCGGGCGGCCGGTGGCTTGATGTGTCTTCACCACACAGCCGCCATGGCGTCTTTGACGTGGGGCCGCCATGTGACAGGCAGGTATGACGGTAGGGCTTTAGACCGTCACTCAAAGACCTACCGTCATTTCCTTTGACAACAGCGGAGAAGAGGGAAGGGGGTCGATTCCATGTCGTTTGTGACGTAATCCAAGTATTGGCGCCGCCCTTTTTTACGTTGTCAGTGCGGCACCGCCATATCTTTTTCTGTGTTTGTCGAAGGGTTACCTGAAGCTGGCTGCGGTTCTGTATGTCGTGACCAACACTTGTTCACTCCTTCTTTTTGGTGGTCATCGGCTGGTTTCTCCTTTTCTTGTCGGCTGAGGTGGGCGGGAGAGGTTGTGTGGACCTTCTCATGGATGTAGGATGTGCCTGCCTTGCTCCTTAAGCCTTGTCTACGAACTCTTTTTAGGCGCATTGATCTTAGAGAAGAGGGTACAAAGACGTGCACAATTTGCTCTCTGTGCCGGCTGACAGATGGATACGCGCGTGAATGTACAGTATCGGCATGCGCTCTTTTTCTCTTTTCTCGGTGGCAGCTGGTTCTCTACGATGCAGTTGTTCTTTTCGCCTTGTCACTTTTGACTCACACATCAATTCAGGGATATGTGTGTGTGATTTAAGCGATGTGTCTGTGGCGTTAAAGCAGTCGTGTGTGACCGGCAGAACTCGGTTGAGACATGGAATGAAAAAGACGACATGACGTTTTAAGGCACTCAAAGGGGCTTCGCATTCGTCTCTCATTAGTGCTGAATGTCTGGGTCTCTCATCCCTGCAATCCGTCGCCACCAGCGTGGACATGTACACAAATGCATATGGGTCACATCAAGGCGACCGACGCCCCAAGGCCCAAAACCGCATACGTCCTCTCTACGTCCTAATGCAATGAAGGCTATGCTACACTCGCGCACACACCCTGAACATCTATCTCTCTATCGATGATGCATGCACAGCATCAAGACACGTCGACGAACACCATCCGCAAAGAACGGCCGTACATGTGGACAACTCGCACGTACTAGGAAGTCACATACATCAGGAACACACACGTGTATGCATTCATGCAATCTCTCGACAAAAACGGCCATAAGACATACGTGGGTGCGTGAGCGAAAGAGTGTGAGACAGCGCGCATGTATCAATATGCCGCCATATGTATATTCCAAGACTCAGCAGGAGGTAAACAGATACACACATGTGTCAGACGTATATATACACACACAGTATGGTGCTTACTCATATGGACGGACAAATACACATGTCAAGTACGTACGTACATATACGTGAGCAGGACACACACAGTGGCCCACTTGTCTGTGTGTCACCCACCCACACATCCACCCACTGTCCCACCCACGCAAAACACCGCAATGTCTCAGGCGCTGACGTCCATCTCGTGCCTGTTGCTCTGCTCCTACTCCTCGCAGCATGGTGACGGGTCAAGGCCGCACAACGCCTGGAACACACACAGGAATACACAATGAACATGAGTGCTAATTGTTTGCTGTTTAATTTCTCACCCTGGAATGTACGCAGAGGGTCAGCACAGCACACATGCACACATGCGCAGGCATACACAGCGAATGCATGCGCACGTGTTTGCGTTTGCGCCTTGTCTCCACTGACCCTGGGGAGCCCATGATCCCGCACACCCATACCACTAACATGAACCCTGTATACATTACATGAATGACACGACATGAAAGCATCGCCTCCACCCGATGAGCTGTATGCGTACCCATGGCGAAATACACACCGCCGTAGCTGCCGAATTCCACGTTCTCATGGAACGCCGCGAATCCTGTAGCACCGACAAACCCCACGATGTGTGCGTTGGGTGAATCGGCATCCTGCACGTACCGCCCAGAGTTGAGTAGAAGCACTGAGCAGCGTAGAACGACGGAACGGCCACATTGGCCTTTCCGGAGTTCATGGCCATAGAAAGGAACATCGCCTGACCAACCAGGTCCAGATAAACGGCCATAACAATGTGTGTGTGGTGTGTGCCAGGCAGGTGCCGACTTGAAAGAGCCCGCAAACGGGAAGTGAAAGACATGTGGCGACCGCAGGGCCCCACAGCAGGACCTCTTGCTGGACACACAGACAAACAGACAGACAGGCACTCACAAAGGACACGCATGTGATATGGGGTTGTGAGCGATACATACCTTGCCGTACAGAATGAGCTGCTTCATCAGCAGCGGTGCCTGTGAGCCGATAATGCCACCCAGGACGCCGTACAGGAGTGCTGACACACACACAGCACGCACAGATTTGTCGCCCTACTTGTGATGGACGCTCCACCTACTGATCCAGTCTCCTGCATCGTCCTCTGGGCTGTCAGGCTGCTGCTCGACGTCGTCTTTTTCGGCATCCAGGATGGGTTCCAATTCCCGCGGCGAACTCTCCTCCCTGTTGACAGGACAATCAGTCTCTGGAGAGGTCGCGCTGATGGCTATGTCATGCACCCACCCCTGTGTGTCCTGGCCCTCATTGTGGTTCTCTCTGTCCTGGCCAAAGCAAGACCTACAGCACTGGCCAAACCACGACCTACAGCACACAACAGAGAAGGATGAATGTGTGGATCGTTTGATGCCGTGTACGCACCAGAAGGCTGCGAATCGTTCAAGCATCTGGCCATCGATGTACCAGAGGGACACTATGCACACCCCGGCGGAGGCGACCCAAAGGAGCATGTACATCAGGTACCACCAGCTTGGAGCGGGCAGAAAGATGCTCTCTCCCAGTTCCTGACAGAACGAAGACACGCACGACGACACGCACGGAGCAGGGGCAGTGTGCTCTCTCTCTCTCTCTCTCTGTGTGTGTGTGTGTGTGTGCTCTCTCTCTCTCTGTGTGTGTGTGTGTGTGTGTGTTTTGTGTGCGCGTGTGTGAGCGGCTGCTTGCCTTCTTCTTGTGGCTGACGCTTGATCGCATCACGCCTGTGCACACGAATATCCCGAAAGCGATGATGCAGGTAGAACACCATTCCCGCCCGGTACACCGCTCCTTGTTGCAACACTGGAGAGACAAGCACCACTTCACGTGGCCGGTATGGGCGCTCACCCACCCACCCACTCACTCACCCAGGAAACGATTGCATTGATGAGGAGCGCCAGGACGGCCCAGGGGGCCAAGAGGGAGGCCGCCGCAAAGTCAAGCGCATACCAGTGGATGAAGGCTCCGCCGACTTGGACAACAAGTCCACACCACCAAATCGCATGCTCGGGCGTGCGGCCTTTCTGCATTTGCATGCCAATGCAGCCGACTGCATTGGCAGTGACGGTTAAGCCAATTCCGAGGGCGAGGTCCGTCCGGTGGGCCCAGTGGGAGAGGCACAAAGGGCCGCCTGCGCCAGCTGTGAGCCACACGAAGGCCAGAAGGACGGCGGCCTGGTGTATCTTCTGCATCTGCATGGCCAAGCAGCAAGGAGAAGCGCGTCTGTGTGTGTACATGTGTGATGTGGCTGCCCTACTTGTCGCCGTAGGTCGTGGGCAGTGCTCAGCAACAGGCAGGGGCCTCGCAGGTCGTGGACTCTCCTCTGAGGCTCTCAGATCTAACCTCAGATCTCCCGTCGATGAGAGGGATATGCCGGAGGCGTGCGTGTGCAGCAGAGTGTGGCACTCAGTGTGCAGACGATGCTGCAGGGAACCACAGCGCTGCCACTCTCACTCAATACGCGGAGAGTGGAAAAAGTGGGAAAGCACGCTGCACGGCGGCACTGGCAACTCAGACGAGAGACTCTGAATCCCCGGCTAACGTTTTGTATTTTGTCATTTTGCGTCTAATTTGTCGTGAGGGCCCGTTCATGACAAGCACGGACATGCATGCGTGAATGTGTCGTTCACGAAGTACACACGGAGACGGCGGGGCTGTGCTTCAGTTGCCAGTGCGTTCTCTCAGTCGCACAGCTCTGCGATGCCGTCCCGCTTCTGCAGCCACATGCCTGCCGACTCGCGGGCTACACACACACACCACACAAGACACGACACGCAGACAGGTTGCCAATGGTTGGTGTGTATATGGGCGTCTCTCTGTGCGTGTCTGTCTGTCTGCCTGCCTGACTGACTGACTGACCGTGTTCGAGCAGGTCATCGGCCTTTGATGTGTCCACCCCGATCATCTTCTTGACCTGCTCAAGCAGCTCCTGCACGCATACATGCGGCACATACAGGTCAATACTTCGCCACATCCGTGCATTCACTGCTGTCTGCATACCCGTCTGGGGAGTTCGTATATGCCCTGTCGCTTGTACTGAGAGATGATCTGCTGAACCATACCCAACCTAAGGGACACACAGAGACAGAGTGAAATGCGGGCGTGTGTGGGTGTGTCTCTGTGTTTCCCTCCTCCCTCATACTGTGCGCCGAGTCCCTTGCCACGCCGAGTGCGGCCCGTGTCCGTCTTGTGCACCTGCACACACACACAGACCATAGCAAAGGACAGAAGAGACACCGATAGACACAACGCCTCAATGGATGCATGTATGCGTGTACGCCGGTGTTGGCAAGACTGCCGTCTCCTGACCTGTGCGATGGGTTCGTTGTGTGTGAGTGCTGTCTGGGAGAAGATCTCAATGACGTCGCGAACATGGCCGGCGCGCACCTCTTCACACAGATCGGCACGAGCACGGGCCTGCAAGTGAGAGAGATGGAGACAGAGACAAGTACGGGTGGGTGTAATGGCTGCTGTGTGGTTGGCCCTGCCTGCCTGTGAGAGTCTGATGAGGGCCTCCAGCTGACGAGTGGTCACTGGCAAGGTGCCTGAAACACCGAAACGGAGAAACACGATGCAAATGGACGAGACACTGTGTTCCAGCCCGCCCTCCCGACCAGATTGGCTGTGGTGGTCGCGCCTCAGCTTCAGGAAGTGGTTGCGAACGAGACGATACGCACCCTCCGTCATCCTGCACACACACAGAGCGAGCGGGCCTTCCCTTGCCTCCTCTGCGCGTGGGCCGATACACGCACTTGGGGTGCACGAAGCTTCTGGCGTATCTGACGTATGTCTGGAAGAGGGCGGCCGGCAGCAGATTGGCGGCGTTCTTCTCCTGCTGCCTGCACCGGGCCTCCAGGGAGGCGTCCTCAGCCGAGCCGTCGCCGTCAGCGATGGCCAAGGCGCCCATACCGCCCCGCAGCTGAACACACCATGGATGCACACATCCTTGATGGGTGGAGACCCCTCTCTCTCTCTCTGTGGTGGGTTCGTTACTTACCTTCATGACGTGATGGGACAGCTGAGTGGTGTCGTGATGGGCGTGGGCCTCGTCCCTGATGGATGGCAGGAGAGGTGAGAGTGGGGATGTGTGTGTGTGAGAGAGGGCGATGCCTACATGAGTATGAAGAGCAGGTCAAATCGGCTCAGCAGGGCGTGCGACATCTTCAGGTTCTCACCCACTGTCTTGGCCATCCTGCCAAACACACATACGCCCCAGGGGTGCATATCGTGTGCAGTGATACGTGCATCCGTACTGGTATTTGCCCTCCTTTGGGTTTGCCGCCGCGCACACGGACGCCCTTGCGCAGAGAGTGCAGACGATGCCGGCCTTGGCCACAGACACCGTCTGCTGCTCCATCGCCTCCAACAACGCTTGCTGATCGACACACAGAGGATACAGCCCACCGACCCATCCCCAGGTGTGTGTTGGTCACCCACCCACCCACCTGTTCTGTCCCGAGTTTGTCTAGTTCGTCGATGCAGCATATGCCCTGGTCGGCGAGCACCAGCGCCCCCGCCTCAAGGGCAAAGTCGCCCGAGCCGGCCTCCTTGATGACCGACGCCGTCAGACCGGACGTGGACGACGCCTTGCCACTCACATACACACCTGCAGAGAGACAAAACGACGTGCACACACACACATATCGGGGGAGGGGGGCTCTGTTCTGTGTCCACACCTCTGTCACTGAGGTTTGCGACGGACCGCAATAGGCGCGACTTGCCCAGGCCTGGGTCACCTGCACGACAACATGATTCAGACAGCCATCGATGGATGGATGGATGGACGTGGGAGTGTTTTGTGTGTCGGTCTCGTCACTGACCGACGAGTAGGCAGTGAATGTCGCCCCTCTTGCGGAGTCCCTTGCCGTCATCCGTCAGCTCCGCCACGCCGCCCAGAAGACACAGCACCAAACCAGCTGGACAAAACAACACCAAACAGCACCATGGATGGCCCAACAAGGATCGCACGTGTGTGTGTGTGTGTGTGTGTGGACATTTGACGAGTTGTTTGCCGAATATGGACGGACACAGCGACGCCACCAGCAGCTCGAACCGATGCGGCTCCTCGTAGATCTCGCGGATGAACTGAAACGACTGCAGCACACATGGACAGGACCACAACACGTACAAAATCCAGCACCGCAACCCCCCTCCCCCTGACCCACCTTCTCTGTCCACACATCCTTCTGATCTGCGATGTCATCCGTCAGGTCGATCACCTCACCACCACCAACGCCATCAGCACCACCTGGCTGGGAGGCGCGGCGCCGCTGCTTCGCCTGATTCTCGCGCTCGTAGTCCTGCATACACCCAACAACACCACACATGCCGACCCACGAACGCTCTGGTGTTTTCGTGTGGGTGGTTGGGTCAGCTGACGAGGCAGAATGTGTCTGCGATTGGCGGGGCTTTGGCGTTGCGGCCGACGCCGAGTGGCAGCTTGAGGCCCTTGGTCTCTCGCGCCTGCTGGGCGTGGATGATGGAACACACGTCAATGTAAAAGACAAAGTCAGCCTGGCGGGCATTCGGACGACCTGAACAGAAAGGACACGTGGGCGTGGTTGGATGGGTGTGTTGGTTGGGAGGGGAGGGAAGGGGTACTAACCGAATGGCTGCAGTTGCCCGGCCGCGACTGTGTTGCCCTTGACGATGCCGCACACCGTCACCACATCACCCGGCACACACAGATCCACCAAGCCGTACCTCAACTGCACACGCCACACACCAACACCACAGAGAAACGTACATGGACCCTTCCATCCTCCCATCTGCCTTGTGGCTTACCTCACAGTCGACGGTGAGAGGTTGCCGCCCCGCCCCGCCCGTCGGCCCCGCTGCCACCGCAGCACCAGCACGACTGACGCCTGCAGAGGCTGCGGCCTGCGATGGCGCCACCCCTCCTGCCATGCTCACTCCGTCGTCTGCCGCGTCCATGCCGCCCCCTCCCCCCTGCTGGCGGCTCTCGAGGAAGCTCGTCAGATCACACATCTCCTCCTGCAACCTGAGCCGAAAGGATAACCGAGTGTGGGGCGGGATTGTTGTGTCCGTGTGTCGTGTGTGCCATGCCACCCACCGTATTTGCTGCCAGCCGATGGAGTCGGTGTCAGTGAGCTCGGGCGCGAACCAGCGGCCGTAACACTTGTCGGTGGGGCAGTTGGTGGGCGGGTCGTATCTGACGTGAATGAATGACACACACACCGACACACATGGATGGATGGATGGATGGGCTGGTTCGTTCGGTCTGTCTGTCGTCTTGTGTGCTGACTTTCCGTTGTCCGAGATCTTGCGTATTCTGGCGCAGCACTTGTTGCACGTGTATGTGACGGCCGAGAGGAGCGGTTTGGAGCTCCACACGCGCACCACACTGCCCCTGACGGCCACGAACCGCCCCAGCTGACCCGACCGCAGATCCTCCAGCTTCAGCAGCGGCTTGTAGTTGTACACGCGAACCTGACCACACATGCATGACACATCGAATCGCTTGACATCTCCCGTCCCCTCCCCCTTGGGGTGTGTTTGTCCCTCACCTCCACTTTCTTGGTCCTGGAGATCCACTTGACCCTGGCCTCCTCATCCATCCCGTCAATCGTCCCATAGTCCACCCGCCCACGCCCTCCCACTATCACGTACCCATCATCATCACTGCCCCCGCCCTGCCCCTGGCCTGGGCCGTTGCCACTGCCATTGCAATTGTCAGTGTGGTCCATGATGAGCCAGTGGAGTGCGCACGCCATGCGCTGCAGGTAGGTCTCGGGCTGCTCGGCGAACCAGTGCTCGAACTGGTGAGGGGCGCTGCGGGCACACAGGGCCTGGTAGTCGAAGTAGTGCTCATACGACACCTTGAGAGTTTCCTGAAGCATGACACACAGCCAGCCATTGCCGGTGCAACCATTTCAACGATGCCATTGCTGCGTCCCACGTACGATGTCGAGTGTGCTGAGATCTTGGAAGAATCGTTTGAAGCCCTCCACCTCAGTGAGCAGCTGAGTGCCATTGCTCAAGTCGGCGAAGTACAGCGGCAGTAACTTTGAGCCGCGGAGATGGCTGCTGCGCGCACCTGACGGCGCAGGCGGTGCGGCGGGAGGGGGAGAGCCACCGAAACGCCGCATTGCGATGAATCAACTTGCCGCGCGATCCAGAAGGTTTGCGAGCTTAGATGACCCAATCTTTCTGCGTAGCTTTCCGCTTCTCGGGAGGGTGATTGATGCGCACGACGTGACGCACAGCACTTCACACATCTCGAGCAAACACGTTGCCACACATGTCATCGTTCCCATCGTCTGTGGAGGTTCTCGTCGTCGGCGCCGGCCCGGTAAGCCGCCACTCCACATGATCTTGCCGCCCTGTCGCTGCCATGCATGCCATCATTCTGTGTGTGTCTGTCGCAGACGGGCCTGACGCTGGCCAACTGCCTGCAGCGCCATGGTGTTGATTACCTGACTGTGGATCTCAACGAGAAGGCCGTCGACACCTCCAGGGCGCTCGCCGTCCAGTGGAGGACACAGGAGATCTTCAGGGACCTAGGTACGCGATGACGACAATCAGGCTCCACGAAGACGGTCTGCGCCGAGGAGACATCTCGGCGTGTGTTGTTTGCGTGTCCCGTCAGGGCTGATCGACGAAGCCCGTGCCGCTGGCAGGCACATCCAGGGGATCAGGGTGGTCATCAACGGTGAGCAAGCACACGGCACATCCGGGTGACGAGCGACGACAGATCTGGGCGTGCTGTCTGGGTCTTGACTAACATACTATAGGCAAGGAGACACTCAAGGGCACCCTGCCTGAGGTGAGCGCCCACTACGGACGGCCTCTGGTGCTGTGCCAGTCCGAGACGGAGCGACTCCTCATCGAGGTGGGCAGGCAGAGAGAGGCGATAGAGGCGTTCAGATTCATGGCGAAACACACGTGTGTGGGTGGTACGTGGTTGTGATGTCAGAATCTGACCAGGCTGGGTGGCGGCGACCGAATCCGACGGCCCGTGGAGGTGCTGAGCCTCACCCCTACTGACGAGGGCGTGACGGTCACACTTCGGGACCTGCAGGCGGGGCCTGAGGCACCCACACACACCATGACGACACGCTATGTGGTTGGCTGTGACGGGGCACGATCATTCGTCAGGAAGTCACTCGACATCCCGTTCGAAGGTCGGTGAGTGGGTGTGTGGGTGGATGGATGGAGTGGGAGGGAGGACAAAGACAAGATTGGGATAACATGTGTGTGTGTGTGGTGTCCCGTGCAGGCAAGACCATCCCAGGCGAGTTTGTGGTTGCGGACTGTTTGCTCCGCTGGGAGGTCCCGTCGCACGACGACTGCACACGAGTACGCACGGACACATCCACACACACCTGCCCACTTGAGTGTCGATCTTCTGTTTTCTTTCAGTTCAAGGCGATATGTGCGGGCGGCGGTGTGCTCTTCTGCGTGCCCATGTTCGCTAAGGCAGAGGAGGCCGAGGCCGAGGTCGAGGAGGTCACTGCACCCGAGCAGGTCACCGAGACCCCACCCGCACCGCCCGCACCAGCACCAGAGGCAAAAGACGAGGAGGAGAAGGCCGAAGAGCCACAGGCGGAGACCACTGAGGGCGCCAAGGAGGGTGCGGAGGAGCAGAAGGGCGAGGCCGTCCCCGAGGCCGAGACCAAAGAGGGCACGCCTGAGGGTGAGAAAGCGGAAGGAGCCGCTGAGGAGGAGAAGAAGGAGGGCGAAGCGGTTGCCAAGACGGAAGAGGAGAAGGAGGAGGTCAAGCCCCACCTCTGGCGCATCATCACGACCGTACCGGTTGGCAAGGAGGGGCCCAGCAAGACATCACCCAGCAAGGAGGAGGTCGAAGAGATCATCAAGAAGGTACGCAGACACCCGACGACCGCACCGGCACACGCTGGTCGGCATGTGCTGTGTCGTGTCGTGTCGTGTCTGTATGCATGGGTGCAGCGTGTTCCGTCTGCTGAGTTGGTGGATATGCCGTGGTCGGCCCGCTACAGCATCAACAAGCGAGCTGCCCACCTCTACTACAAGGACAAACGCATCTTCCTCGCCGGCGACGCGGTGAGTGCACCCCGCCCCGCCTGTTCTCCATCCATCCATCCATGTATCCATTATCCATCCGTTGCTGCATGCATATGCATGTGTTTGCTGTGTGTGTGTGTGTCAGGCTCACGTGCACCCGCCTCTGTTCGGGCAGGGCATGAACACGGGCATCCAGGACGCATACAACCTCGGGTGGAAGCTGGCCTTCGTCCTCAAGGGAGGCGCACCCACACAGCTCCTCGACACCTACGAGGCGGAGCGTTTCCCAATCGACTGTAAGTGACCCACATGCACGCGGACACGTGCATGCGGAAGGGACGTGTCCGTGTGTGTGTGGATGTGTTCCTTCAGGCCAGACTGTCAGGCGCACGTCGAGGGGTTTCCCGGGAATCTTCAAGGGGGGCATCGCATCGCGTTTCTTACTCGGCACGGTGGTTCCCATCGTTTGGACCCGCCCAGCCCTCACGGACCGCCTCGCCGGGTTCATCAGCCAGACGCAGCAGGCCTACCCCGCCGACAAGGGCGTCATCGGCCCCGCCGCCGTCCACCATGCCATCGTACCCGGCTCGCGCGTCCCCAACGCGTCCCTCGATGTGCTCGACCTACAGGAGGTGGAGGGCAAGACGGAGGCCGTCAAGACCAGGGACACGCCCGTCAGCGTCCATGAGGTGAGGGAAGCGTGAATGCTTGGCGCGATGCGTCAGGCAGCTGCATCGATGTGTGTGTATGTGTGTGTATGTGCTTCGCATGTGCAGTTGTTGTCTGGTCCCCACCACACGTTGATGCTGCTGGTGGCGATGGAGTCTGCGCCCGAGCACGCCGCCCCCAAATCATGGACCAACTGGATACCCGGCTGTGGCGAACCCAGACGAACCACGGAAGGTACACCGATACGCCCACACGCACGCACGCGCACACACCTGAGCAATCGGCATGCTCTTCGTTGCTCTGTGTGTGCAGAGGGATGGCTACCCGACGTGTCGCAGAAACTGTCGTCGCTCGCCTGTGAGATGACGTGCAAGCTCGGCAAGGCCGGTGAGACGTTCAGCGGCGTCAGGGTGGTGGTTGTGGTGCGCGGAGCCGCTGACACGCTCGGCAATGCCTGTGAGGCCATCAAGAATGCAATCGAGAAATGGTGGGTGGGGGTTTCTGGGCACATGAGAGAGACAGAAATCGTATTTTGGATGGATGGATGGGCTTGTGTGTGGACTGTTTGTTTGTCTTTTGCAGCTGCACTGAGGGGTCGGGCTGCGTGGCCCCCGAGGTGTTGTATTGCGACGACAGCAGCCACGACCTCCTGGACCTGTACAAGATCCACATGTGGCCGGGCAAGAAGGCAGGCGGGGCCTTCCTCATGATCCGACCCGACGGTGTCCTCTCACACATCGGTATGACCAACTCACACGCATACCAGACGTCCATCCGTCTGTCCGTCTGTCTGCTTGAAGGTTACGCGAGCGACTCTTACGCCACCAAGAAGCTGCGTGACTACGTCGAAAAGTACCTGATCCCCAAGAAGGAGGAGCCGCCCAAGCCACAGGAGGAGACCAAGGAGGAGACCGCCCCCGAGCAGCCCCCAGCAGCGGCCGCCGAGCAGCCCACAGCAGAGGACGTGAAGGAGGTGGTCACAGAGGAGGTCAAGAAAGAGGAGGCTCTCGGCGAGACTGAGGAGGAGAAGGAGGAGGGCGAGGGCGAGGGCGAGGCTGTGACGGCCGCCCCTGCCGAGGGCGAGACGGAGCAGAAAGAAGAGGCCACACCCGAAGAGGGGAAGAAGGAGGGCAAGGGCGAGGAGAAATGAGGGATGGCACAGGGGGCCGGCCAGACACTGCGCTGATCGATCGGATCGGTTCACGTCTTTTTCATACGGTTTGCTGTTGACGAAGGAAGCAAGCCGACATCTGTGCCATACACACATACATACATACATAAACACATGAACTGGACGGTCGATTTTTCCCCATTTGTTGTCGTTCGTGCATGGCGGCCCAAATCCTATGTCTCTCGTCAACACACGCGACACGAATACACACATACACGGTTGCATCGCATCCATCCATACGTATGGCTTTTTGTATCCGCCTTTCTGGACATGAACCAACGAGTGTGCTTCTTCTTTTTCGGGTGCCATGGCCGTGTTTATTAAGTGCATGGTAGTGGTGGGTAGCTGGTGGGCGAGATCTTTATCTGTGTGGATGTGAACGTGGGCTTACTCTATCCGTCACCATGTCATGTGGTCTGTGTAAGGGGTGGTCAACGGATGTGGTTAATGGTGGGAACGCGCCACTTTCTCAACAGCAAAGTGGGGCGCTCGGTTCACATAGAGAGGAAGATAGCAAGGCCGCAACAGCATTGGAAAGACCCGCTCGCAAAACAAGTAGCATCGCGTGCTGTGCTGTGCAGGTGCAGCCCCAATGCTACTTAGCGAGCGCGTATTTGCGATGCTGTTGCGGCCTTGCAAGACGCGACCTTGACGGATGACTGCATTCGAGGGAGGCACAGCGGGGCGGGATGGTGCGTGGCTGAATGATCATACCACGAATGCATTTATCTGTTAGCCAGCCGTGTGCGAACTCCTCCGTACGTATTTTTCTCGGTGTGCGAACTCGCGATCGCGTGTGGTGGTGGTGGTGGTGGTGGTGGGGCTTCTCATTTTTCCTGGCCGCCGTTGGTCTCTCGTGAGAGTCACCGACATCCACCCGCAGCTGCTATTGTCATGGGATCTGCGGGGAGGTGTTGGCGGCACCCGTAAGAGCCGAAGGGCGGAAGCAAGGGAAAGAACGATGAATGGATGGATGGATGGATGACGAGCCAAGAGACCGAAGCGATTTTTTCCTTCACTGTTGGCCAGGCTGGCTGGCCTGTGTGCTGTGTGCTGTATTGTGCGGTGGAGAGCCAGCAAGCGGATCGATGACATGGATGAATGGATGTAAGATGGCAGTTTTTTGTTGTCGTGTATGGCCAATCGGCAGGCTGGTCCGCAGGGGTCTCATAGTGGAGCCCCCCCCCTTGCGACTACTAAACTGCTGGTTGTTTGTACACGTTGGTTTGGGTTGCAATTGTTTTCTGGGCTCACCTGCACATGAGCGTGCCTTGGTTTCTTGTAAGTCGGATCTGTGCGCACCGGCCGGGGACAAAGAAGTGACTTTCATCCTTACATCCCTACAGTGCGTAGCGTCAGGCAGGACACTCATACCATGGCATGCACGAGGACCCACTCACGGTACGATCGTATACAACAATAACATGGTTGCAGTGTGCACTGCACTCAGCAAGAAAGCAAACTGCACACCAGAGCCTTCAGCCCAGCCCGCCCAGTCAGCTGTTCACCGCCACTATCCCGTTGTCGATGGCACGGAAATACCCGAAGAACGCCTGCATCCATCCATCCATCCACACCGCAGTGTATCATCCGTCAGCCGTCCACTCGGTCGGTCGGTTACTTTGAAGAGGTTGAGGTAGTGTGTGATGTCGTCGGCGCCGCACGTCTCGCGACACGAATGCATCGCCCACTGCGGGATACCCACGTCGATCGCACGGATGCCTGAATCAAAACAGACAGACAGACAGGGAGAGAATGCATATGCATGGCTCAGCCGCCCCACCCACCCACTGACCCAGTTTGGCAGAGAGCATGGGCCCGACAGTGCTGCCGCAGGGCGAGTCGTTCTTGACCACAAAGTCCTGCACGCACGCAACATACCCACAGCAAAAAGCAACAGCTGTTTCGCACTAGAAGACAGAGCGTCATCTGGTTGGTACGTACCTGCATGGGGACGTTGCCGCATCGGCAGATTTCTCTGAATATGGCCGAGGTGAGTGCGTGGGTGGTGTAGCGCTGGTTGATGTTCTCCTTCAACACAACACCCTGAACACACAGAGACAGGTTTGGCCAACACGCATGCGCACGCAAAACCAGGCTGTGCGGGTACCTTTTGCAGCAGTGGTTTGTGCTGCGGCTGGTGTTTGTCGGCGTAGTTGGGATGCACACCATGAGCCATGTCCTGCCGTACACACCCATGCACGTATGCGCGTGTGCGTATGTGTGTATGTGTCTTGGGTGTCTTACGGCGCTCATGAGGAATGATCTGGCAATGACTTCCGCCAGTCTGTCCTCCATCTTGAGCCCACGCAGAATGCGAACAATCCACGTCTGCCATCCATCCATCCATCCAACCAACCAAGGCCCGTCATACACACACACGGACAAGAGGTGCCTCCATTGCTCACCTCCATGGCGGCTGAGTCGGCTCCAGCCCACGTCGTCGAACCGATCTGACCAACCACACAGAGGCGAGTCGGCATGAGTCCACACATGGATGTGCTGCAGCAGTGCCCGCCCTTCTACCTCTTCGTGGTCGAATGCGACGGCCACCCAGATGTCCTGGTGGCACGCGGGATCCGCATGGCTGTGGCACCCCTCACACAAATCCATCAACGCCTGAATGGAACACAACAAGCTAATCAAATCGCGGCAGCAGTTCCCGGCTGCAGCAGACGTACGTACCTTGATTGCTGCCCATGACGACACGAGGTTGTCGAGGCGGGGCGACTCCAGAAACTCGTCGTACACTCCACACAAACGACTCGGCTGATCCGAGTATACCCGTCAGTCACCCGCACACGGATGGAGAGATACACATCGACCAACCACTCGATCCCAACTTACCGTCGCGTCCATGAGGCAGAGGTCCAGGTCCACAATCTCCTCAGGCTGGCAGCCGAGCTCCCCCGCCAGCAGGGACAGCAGGGGTGCATGGTGCCGACCGTTCTTGCCGGTCTTGTCATTGTTCTTCTTGTCGTTCTTGTCTGGTGGCGGCTCGACCAGCTGCTCGCGGACCTTGCTGCACAGAATGGGCATCAAGTGGTTCTCCTGCAAAGCCACACAGAGGGGGAAAGAGATATGTGTGTTGCTTTAGAGGTGTGAGGGCATGTCTGTGACCTACTCGGTGGACTTTGAATGCGTCTCTCTCCTCTGCTGTGCGGAGGTGAATCGCCAGGTTGGGCAAGATGCACACCGAACTGCAAGCACCAACATCAGAAAATGAGCAAGAGCGTCCGCATCGACGAATCAAGGTCGATCCATCATACCGGTCGATGCGGACGAAATGGATCTCCAGCCGCTCCTGGGTGCTTTGAGGAGCTGCAATGGAAATACGTAGAATGATCTAGCGCTGCGAACATGATCTGAATACCTGCCTGCCTACCTTTGCGTCTGACCATGACCTTGCCCGCGAGTCCCAGCCCCCGGTCGAACCACGTGTGCCACAAACCGCCACCGTAACACTCAACGCCTATCTGTATTGTATGACACGACACACACGGGCACAAACACACAGGTCCCATCTTGCACAGAACGACCGTCTCGCCTCCCAATCTGTCTGCCCGCCCCACTAGGTCACCCGACCTGCAGGTATCCCTCCTTCTCGACTGTCGTGTTGGGCCTCAGCCGCAGGCAGGGCGAGTCGGTGTGGCCAGCGATGATGTCGATGCCGCCATGACCCGTGACGAACTCACTACCTGGAATACACATGAACACCTACATTGATTGCTGAGTCCGTGTGCTCGTCTGTCTGTCTGTCTGTCTGTCTGTCTGTGCGTGTGCAGTGCACCGATATGGAAGGCAGCGATGGCCGAGTGGTTTCTGATCACGAAGTAGTTGCCGCCTGGCGCCACATCCCAACCAGATCTGCTTACCATGCCATGACAACAGCGTCGTGATCTGGCTGCAGAGCCACACCTTTGTCTGTCATCTGCGTACCGTTCGTCGAGTTCCCTGAATCCCTTGGCCAGCAGGAGGGCCTTGAGCGACGACACGCTGTGGTAGGGGCTGCCCGTCGTGTTGACGTACTTCAGGAACTCATGCGCTGGTGCATTGTCGACCGCCTCAGCCTTCGCCATTCTGGTCTGCTCTCCTCCTTGCCCCCGTCGACTGCGAGCTAACAGAGGGAGGGAAGGGGAAATGAGTCGACGGTGGAGAACGAAGGTATGTAATGACTCCACAGATGTACCTGCTCTTTGCCTGGGCAGCGACGTCTGCCAGATCTTTCCATCAGCATCGTCAGCTGTGCTTCATCAATCTGTCCTGTTCCTCCTGGCTTTGCGCAGGAGGCTTCTGAGGCAGCTGCCGCCGTGACAGGACAAGAAGAGCCGCCGGCAGCACACGAGAGTGCAAGACGGGCGGACATGCGGCATATATTCATCACTGGCCAGCCTGGCACTGGTGAGTCAGGGGCAGACAGCAGCATTCACGGTGCATTGAAGTACGTCATTTGTGTGGCTGTACGTGTTGTTCGATGCAGGCAAGACGACCATGGTGCAGCGCTGCTGGCAGCGCCTGATCGACGAGCAAGTCGTCTCGCCTTCCTTTGTGCGAGGGTTCTTCACTGAGGAGTGCAGGCAGGGCGGCACGCGAATCGGCTTCGATGTCGTCACGGCTGACGCAAGACGAGCGCCCCTCGCAAGACTGGGCAATACCAAACCGACCGTCGGCAAATACTGTAAGTGAACACGGGCAGAATGATGCTGACTCAACAAGACATGTGTGCCTGTGTGCCTGTGTGTCTGCTGCAGCTGTTGATGTGGGCAGCTTCGAGGCGCTGGCGCTGCCCGAGTTGGAGTCCGTCACCTCTCTGACGGGTGTGTCAGCAGAAGCACCCACGCTGCTGGTAGGCCAGGCCACGTCAGCGAACACCCCATATACGGTTTGCATCCCTCCCATGCACACCAGTGTTTTTGTGTGGGTCAGCTGTTGGATGAGATAGGCAAAATGGAGCTGCACTCGTCGCTGTTTTGGCCGGCTGTGAAGACAGCGCTCGACTCGTCGGTACCTACACTTGGCACCGTGCCCATGCCACGATACGGACACACCATCGCAGAGGTGGGCGGCAAGAGCACGACACACCAGTGTTAGGAGAATCACACGCCAATGGCTCTTCCCTCTGTCAGGTTGAGTCTGTCAAGAGCCGTGACGACGTCGTGCTATACAAACTGACCAAAGAGAACCGGTAGGCCGGCGGCTGATGTGTGAGTTGTTGCCTGACAGCATTCTCTTTGCTGTTTGGTTGCTGGCTGTATGTAGGGATGCAATGTTTGACGAGATCTACGAGATGGTCAAGAGTCAGATTGTGGCGACCAAGTAATACTGATGCGCGGTGCAAATGGAAGGTGTGTGTAGAAGCCTTCCCTGCGTGGCTCTGTACATAGTGAGGGAGGGAGTGCATCCGACGCTTGGAAGGACGTATGTATTTGTCGCACAGATGGATTGAAGGAATAGTGTGGCACAATACCATCAGTAATGAGATGCTGGCTACTCACAGTCGACTGCCACACACTCATTCCAATCATCAGTCGTCATCGTCAAAGAACACATGCGACCGCTGTGGCTGACTCGTGGCCTCGTCTTTCATTGCCGCCTGCCCTTGCCCACCTCCCCCATGCCCATCTTTTCTCTCAACACCTCTGCCCCTCCCTCTCCCCCTCTCGCCCCTCTGCCTCCCGCCGCCCCTCACATTCACACCGCTGTCATGGCGTCCCTTCCCCGGCACTGACTCTCGGGCAATCCCCCTCCCCCGTGCTGCGCCCCGGCCCCTCACATGGCCCCGGTAACCTCGCATTGTGTCGCCTCTGTCGGGCCGGCCATCGTCAGCCGCTTTCTCGGCACCAGGGACAGCAAAAAAGTCGTCATCATCCAGATCTGAAGCGATATGCAGCGACTGGTGCAAATGTGCAGACATTTGCATAATCTCACCGTCCTGTTGATCTGGCTGGTCGAGCTTGGCGCGACGTTTCACCAACTGGAAGGAACACATGGCTTCCACATTCGGGTTTGCCCCCATGGTCAAGTGCCTACCCGGCTGCGTATCTGCTGCCTTATCTCTGCCCGCTTCTTGACGATCTCCTCAGTGGGACCCTCCATTGGGGCAAAGAGGGCTATGTAGGGCTTGTCTAGGGGATAGTGCTGCACACAAGGACGTCAGCAGAGTACATGACTGGAGGAAACACAGACAAACTGGCAGGGGTGGAGGGCCCTCACCTTTATGTATTGGAGGTCGTCTTCGTGCTTGGCCAGCTGCTGCCGCAAGGCATCGATTTGCGCCGGGAGGTCTTCACCGTCGTGATCCTCTGCCTGGTCCCCTCGTTGCAGTAGCTCAGCCAGCTGCTTGCGGCACTTCTTCAGCTGACGCTGCACCTTCACCTCCTCTACGAACCCCCCCACACACACATACACATACATGGATCAACATGGAGGTTTGTTGCTCGCGTGTTCTGTCTGACCGACGAATCTGATGCGCTTGTAGAACTTTTGTCTGCTCTCGAAGAACTTGCTGCGCTTGGCCTGCTTCTTCAGGGACTGAATGCGGCCCTCCAACCTCTCTCGCTGCTCGGCTGGCAGATCCTGCAAACGAAGATGACCGAAACGCAACGAATGGACGCACAAGGGCATCTGTTTGCTCACCTTTGTCCTCTCCAGCACTCTTTGGATGTCCTGTATCCTCTCCTCAGGGGACTTGCGAGATCTGTCGATGTGCGATGAGTCAGCATCATCCCGAGGGCCGCTTTTCATGATGGAAAGTCCTCTGTGGGCCACTGTCGATGGCTTGCGAGTATCAGCGTGGCTTTTCTTCATCCTTCAGATGTTTGAGCTCGCCGGCGCGATCGTCGGCCGTTGACCGTTGGATTCTACTGGCCGCAAGATGGGCCAAGGAAGCAGCGCCGCTGTTGTGCCGTTCGTCAACACGAACGTACCGCCACCTGAACTTGTAAGCGGGAGAAATATGCGTTTGTGTGCATTGAGTTTTTGTCTTGGTGTGTTGGTGCAGGTGGAGCGTGCCTGTATTCTGTCGGCCTTCGACACCCCCGAGGTGCTGTGGCTATGGCAGCAGTACTGCAGGCTGGACACGGTACGCATCTCTCTCGCACGTTGTGTGTGTTGTACATGCGTGTTCGTTTGTGTGATTGGCTGCAGGACGAGGATGGTGTCTTGAGCTGCGAGGAGCTGCTGGAGCTGCCTGCTCTCAAACACCAGCCATTGAGGGAGCGTCTTCCGTATGCGCTCGGGCTCAACACAACAAAGGTATGAATTGCGCAGGTGTGTCTATCGGTCGCTTGGTGCATGTCTGTTCCACCCGGTCCGTAGCAATATGACTTTCCGGCCTTTGTGGCCGCTCTTTCGCCCTTCAATCCACGAGTAAGAGACACGTGCGTACTTGCAGGAGGGATGCATCTTCTCTACAAGTATCGGGTGTTTGTGTGCAGTCGAGCCTTGACGACAAGACACGGCTCCTCTTTCGGCTGTACGACTCCGACCAGGACGGCCGCATCACGAAGAAGGACCTCAGGTCTACCATGAAGCTGGTCCTCAAGAGCGGGGGCGAAGACACACTCAGCGAAGAACAGTTTGAGGAATGCCTCGACCTCACCCTGACGTAAGCATGCAGCCAGCAACGACCAGTGTCTCTTACACGATACCAGCTGCGTTCCCTCGTTCTGTCCCGTGTTGCAGAGAGCTTGGCCTTCCGACCGATGAGCCGGCCGACGAGAAACAGGCAGAAAAGGACAAGGTCGCACTCGGCGACATTGGTGCGCCGAGCGAGGCTGAGCAGGAGACAGCTGTCGGGGAGATAGAAGTGAGTAGGAGGGGTAGCAGTTTGCAGGCGGGCATCACCTATGAGATGTTTGCTGGGTGTGTCGGAACCACCAACCTCGGACCCAAGCTCTCTTTCTTCATCACGTAGAGACGCGCTATGAGAAGAACATGTGTCGCTATGAGTCTCCGCGGTTGTGTCTGCGACACAGTCTTGATCGCTCGATTCACTGAATCGGTGTGTATTGAACGGTTTGCACGATGCATGAAGACACCACTACAGAGATTGAAACGTTTAGTCGGTCGGTCACAGTGTGTCTCTCGCTCCCTTACAACCAAAATAGAATGCAGGCAACGAGTGGAGGACAGCTAGTCAGCCAGTTTGACGAGGTGACTTCCTTCCAGCCAACCCCCACAACCCGAACCAGAAGCCGCTCACGCAACGCATCCAGCAGGCGCCTTCACCCTCCACACCTCGTCCTTCCCGTCATGGTACCACCCCTCCTCGTGGAGGGAGACGGGAGGCCACCTCGCTGAGTAGGTTGCACGTGGCCTCAAGCACCGGCAGCAGCTGGCAGAACGGGTCAACCGCCGCCTGCAGGGCCATCTCACACACACTCCCCTGATGGAAAACGACCCACAGACAGACACACAACATCATTCATGTCGAGGAGATGGCATCAGTAGCTACTACCCACTTCCGCTCACTCACCTTGTTTGCTACCGCTTTCAGTTGGTCCACCTCTTTGTCCATCTTATTCGCTATCAAACGCCACAGGTCAGCCGGGTTGACCTCCTTGAGCACTGCAAGCGACTTGTCAACACTCTGCACACACCACACAACACCAGACGCCATATACACAACGATTCGATGGATGGATGGATGGATGGATGGGTACAAGACACAGTCAGCACCTACCGTGAGTTCTTTGAGTTGTATGATTTTGTGGAGGGGCGGCTGCTCGTAGCCACCGAGAGGATCGAGCTTCAACACCGAGGAGCCCATGCTGTTGTGGCGCCCCTCGACGCGCTCTTTCGTCTTGCGGCAAATCTCGGGCAGAGCACCACTGGCAGACATACAGACAGACAGATGGATGGATGGATGGATGGACGCCGGTGCCACTCCTCACGAGCCGGATCGGCGGCACCATGACATGGGGCGGCAGGGGGAAGTGGCGTGGTGCTGGTGCTGGGAGGGGCACGAACGGGGGCGGGACGTGGGGCGGGGGATGAACGCGATGGGGAGGGCCCCCACGCCCCGCACCACATGCTGCAGGTAGGGCATACCTGGCTGATGTGCGGATCAGAGCATCGCCATCATGCCAAGCCTGCAGTCACACACACAGCAAAGATACCCGCTCGGAACCCACTCGACGTGTGCGTCCTACCTTCTCGATGGTGTGTGCGGAGACACGAGGGAAATATGCCGGCAGATATAAAATGTAGGCAACGATCCTGAGACCTGACACCGACACACGGCACCCGTGTGTCCAATTCATCTGCCTTGTCTGCTCGCAAGATTGCGTTGCAGGTACCTGTGTCTCACTCCGGCTGCTTGAAGTGCTGGAAATGCGACTTCAGGGCCTCACGCACACTGCCAATAAGCCTTTCTCCCGGGGCGCGCTATCATCACTTGGTGGGGGCGGGAATGACGGGACGGCCAGCAGGTGGCTGCCGACAGCCGGCTCAGCAGCAGGTGACGCTTATGCAGCACACGAGGAAATTTAGCAGCATGTCGACACGGATGCGATGATGTCCCCCAGCGCCGCCCTCGCCCCCTCCTCCGGACTCATTCCCTCCTCTATCAGCAGCTTGGCCATCGTGAGATCCTTCACGGCCTCCATGCTTCCTGCCTCGCCAAGCGCTTGCTCCCATTGCAGGCGCCTCTGAACAGCACCCAGCAGCCACTTGTGGCGGTCGGCCGGGCCGCTCCCAGAGAGCGCCTGCAGGGAAGCGAGGGCGTTGTCCCCTCCGAGCGTCGCCGTCCTCATGGCCTTTGTCTCCCTCACCACCTCATCGGCGAAGTGTCTGTCGTAGAGTGCCTGGCCGTCTCTGCTCTCGACAAAAAACGCCCCCGCCTCCCCGTAGATCTCTGTGTTGGCGCTGCTGCCGTCGGGGTGGTCCATATGAGGGGCGATCAGCAGGGCAGCCGACAGTGAGCAGACGGGGCCCTCGCTGAATGGCAGGCGGAGGGCGGGGGTTGTCGCCACGGTCGTGCTGCTGGTGGTGGCGGTGCGGCTGATGACGGCCTCGATGGTGGCTGCGACCTTTCTGAGGGCAGTAGGGTCGGCGTGCGGGCCCGGCACTGGGGCGAGGTCGACGTCACGTGGCGTCGACGGCAGGGAGAAAAGCGGCTGCTGTGTCTCCGACCGGCGCCTTGCCATCTCAAAGTCAATCCACTGGTCCCGGAGCCGTACTCGATAATGGGTGCGGAGACACGATGGAAACAGCCGGCAGATATAAAATGGAGGCGACGATCTTGAGACCTGACACCGACACACGGCACCCGTGTGTCCAATTCATCTGCCCTGCTGGAAAGATGCGTTGCAGGTACCTGTGTCTTACTGCGGGGTGATGTCGCAGGCCGTTGACCATGATCTCTTGGCCGTTGGCGTCGCCGTGCACCCACCCCGCCCCGTGAATGGCAGCCAGCGATGACAGCACAGAGACGACGAGCCGCCGGTACGCGTCGGGAGGCAGCTGCAGACGCTCGAGGGTCTGGCTGATCCGCTGCAGCCGACGTCTGCAGGCGACTCTGGACAGCACCCAGCAGCCACTTGTGGCGGTCGGCCGGGCCGCTACCAGAGAGCGCCTGCAGGGAAGCGAGGGCGGACATGTCCGCTCCCCGGATCGCCGCATTGGCGGCAGCTGTGACGGCGTCTGTCTCCCCCTCCACCTTCGCCTTGAAGTGTCTGTCGTAGAGGTCGACAAAAAACGCCCCCGCCTCCTCGTAGATCGCTGCGTTGGCGTCGCTGCCGTCGGGGTGGTCCATATGAGGGGCAATCAGCAGGGCAGCCGACAGTGAGCAGACTGAGTAGGTGTCTGCGGCCGTGCTGAATGGCAGGCGGAGCGTGCTGCTGCTGCGGGTGGCGGTGCGGCTGATGACGGCCTTGATGGTGTCTGCGACCTTTCTGAGGGCATCAGGATCGGCGTGCGGGGCCGGCACTGGGGCGATGTCGACTTCACCTGGCGTCGGCGGCAGGGAGGGAAGCGGCTGCTCTGTCTCCGGCCGACGCCTCGCCATCTCAAAGTCAATCCACTGGCTGCCAAGGCGAGCGGCGTGCCACACGACCATGATGTTCTGGGGGTTGGCGTCGCCGTGTATCCACCCCGCCCCGTGGATGGCAGCCAGCGATGACAGCACAGAGACGACGAGCCCCGGTAGGCGTCGGGAGGCAGCTGCAGACGCTCGAGGGTCTGGCTGATCCGCTGCAGCCGATGTCTGGTGGCGGTGGGCTCGTACTGGTTGTGCTGCTTGCCGGCCCGGATGTGGAACAGGTCTTGGAGGGTGACGGCCCCGTCCCACACCTCCGCCGGCGTTGGCTTCCTCTCTATCTCCTGCCTCTCCTGCCCCTCATCGCCGCTCTCGGGGTCCACCGGCTCCTCTTCCAGCAAGTCGGGGCCCAGGACGTCGGCGTTCTCGGCCATGTACTCCCGCATGATCCTCTCTTGCTCCTCGACCTCCTGTCGGTACCGCTTGCACCACTCATCGACCTCGCCGTCGTCGGCCGCTGGTGCAGAGGCAGGCGTCTCGTGAGCCGCTGACGAAGCCGTTGGTGCCTCGGGTGGCGGCGACGGCGGTAGGCGGGGTGGCTGCTGCTCCTCCAATGCCACGCGATCGGCCTCACTCAGAAAAGCTGAACAGGTGGGGTGGGGGCACAACCAAGGCAGACAGATACACACAGGCACACGTGCGTTGCGTCCCTTCCTTGATGCCTTCCCTCCTTCTCCGTCATATGCAATGCAATGCATACCTGTATATTGCGATATGATCACGTAGCCCTCGATCTCCGCCTGTACGCGTCGGTTGGGCGTCCAGGGCCTCATCACACTGTCGTACCCGCCGTCGCGGTAGGCCTGCCAGTCCCCGTCCATGATGGCGACTGACCGCTGCGCATCGCCGTGGACGAGGCCATGGGCAATCAACTCAGGGGTGACTGGGAGACCGCCCTCTCCCGTCACTCCCTTGATGGCCTCGTTGGCCTCCGCCTCCGCCCTCAGTCGCCCGCTGATCCGCGGCCTGATCGCCTCGTCCACGTGCCTGATGGCGTTGGGTAGCACTCCCTTCAGCATCACCCGACGGCCGTCACAGTGGCCCTCGATGAGGCAGTACTGGGCCTCTCTGTTGTTGTCTGGGAGCCGGACCATGTAGCGGCCAGCCGGGCGGAAAGCCGCCAGGCTGGCGCGCGACGCCTGTGACATGGCCGCGGGTGACGCTGTCTGGGCTGCTGCTACTGCCTGTGAGGGGAGGAGCGCCAGGGGCATCTGCGGCGAGCTGGCGGCAGACGGGGCAGCCAGGGGCATCAGCGGGGACGAGCCGTCCGACGCCTCACCTTGACCGGCAGCCGTTGATGATGGCGAGGGGCTGCCTGGCTCCTCCTGACGCACCCCTTGGCATCGCTCAAACTCAAACAACCGACCTGACGATCGGAACCACCACACACAGCAAACAGGGCAATGATCGGTCAGGTCAGACATCACCCACACGTCCCTCTGTCTGCCGTGTCCTTTGTGTGTGCCACGTCACCCACTCACCTTCTTCAACAGGTCCTACGCACTCCACCTCACGCACACCCTCATGCACTATGCCGTCCTGCCCGTCGACGGGTCTCCCCTCCTGACCCTCCCCCGCCTCCCTGTCACCCTCCTCCTCACCACCACCACTCTCCTCCTCGTCATCGGCCTCCTCTCCCTCCTCTCTCTCGTCCTCCTCGGTGGCCGGGTCGGGCCCCTGGTCGCCAGCTGCTGGCCGCAGCTGAGGCAGAATGGAAGGCGCGCCTGGTGTGGGCGGCTGGCGTCCGCCATACATAGGGAGCACGGCGCGCTGCATGCCGGCCCGGATGCGGAACACGTCGTCGAGGGTGACGGCCCCGTCCCACACCTCCGCCGGCGTTGGCTGCCTCTCTATCTGCTGCCTCTCCTGCCCCTCGTCGCCGCTCTCGGGGTCCACCGGCTCCTCTCACGCCGGGAAGGCAGGGACTTAAGCCAGTCGGGGCCCAGGAAGTCGGCGTACTCGGCCATTACCTCCTGCATGACCCTCTCGTACTCCTCGGCCTCCTGCTGGTGCCGCTTGCACCACTCATCGACCTCGCCATCGTCGGCCGCTGGTGCAGAGGCAGGCGTCTCGTGAGCCGCTGACGAAGCCGATGGGCCCTCGGGTGGCGGCAACGGCAGTAGGGGGGGTGGCTGCTGCTCCTCCAAGGCCACGCGATCGGCCTCACTCAGAAAAGCTGAACAGGTGGGGTGGGGGCACAACCAAGGCAGACAGATACACACAGGCACACGTGCGTTGCGTCCCTTCCTTGATGCCTTCCCTCCTTCTCCGTCATATGCAATGCAATGCAATGCAATGCATACCTATATATTGCGATATGATCACGTAGCCCTCTATCTCCGCCTCTATCCGTCGGTTGGGCATCCAGGGCCTCACACCTTGGTGTGTACAGCTTCCACGTACCGCATTGTCGTCCACGGAGGTAGCGCGCAGACAGTCGATGTACGAGATATCGAAATATAAAATGTAGGCGGCGATCATCAAACAATCTACCCTCACACACAGACTGATGAGATCTTCTTATGGGTTGTTTCGCGTGTCTCACTCCTTTCGCTGCGGTGTTCTTCTATGAACCTGGGCAACCATGGGGCAAAGCCGGGCTGGTCTTGCAGGTCCTGCAGCAGCATCCCCACCCTCTCCCTCGTTCACTGTCATCTCCCGCAGCTGGGGGCCCTTCTCGGTGAAATACTAGCCGTGGTACGTCCCCCACTTGAGGCTGCGGTGCAGGTCGGCGGACACCCGGGACCCCAAGAACTCGTCCTTGGCCTCCTGGTGGTCGGCAGGCGTCAGGGGGGGCCTCGGATATCTCCACTGGTCGAGGATCCACAGCATGCCTTCCTCCTCCATGAGGACATCGACCAGCTTCTCGACCCGCATGACGTTGGCCATGGCCTGGCCCATGCCATACAGGGCGCTCGTCTCGTCCAGCCACACGCCCTTCTCTGTCTCGCTGCTGTCAGCAGCGTCCTCGCCCCCGAAACGATACCCTTCTGACGCAGGTCCTCCTCCACGCTGTTGGCGGCGTTGCGGATGTTGACATACTTCCGCCGCCGCCAGCGGCCGTCTTCGTCGAGCAGCTGCATCTCCTCCGGGCACTCGTCGTCGTATAGGTCGTATAGGTCGTTGTGCTCGTCCTCTTCTGGCTTTCTGCCTTAGCCCAGCGCCTCCTCAAGCTTCTTCTCGTATTGGAAGTCGTTGAGGCATCTGGCGGTGTCGAACCACTTCTCGCCGGTGTGGTCCTCCTCGAGGGAGTGGAAGAAGGCGAGGTACAGCTCGGGGGACGAGTGGCAGATGCTGCTGGTGATGGGCTGGTTCTGGGCCCTCCGTGCGGCCGTAGAGAAAGGGACGAAGGCGCTTGGGAGGGGGTGGGTGGGGTGATGGGAGAGGGCGGCCGAGCTGGTGAGGTCTATCAGCTTGGCACCTTCGGGCGCCAGTGGCTCACTGGAGGGCAGCTGCAGGCTGCCTGGCACCTCGAGCCTCTCCAGGAAGCACTTCTTTAAGAAGACATCCTTGGAGAAATTGTCCAAGGTCAGCACGCCAAGCTGCACCGCCACGCGATTGCACCTCCTGTACAGCCGCAAGCCGAGGACGAGGCTCTGCAGCTTCTTGCGGATGTCCTCGGGGTCCTTCTCGGCCTCGTTCTCCTTCAGCTGAGCCAGCTTGCTGAAGCTGTGCTCCTTCAAGAAGTCGTCGACCGGCTGCCACTCCTTGCATGACACAGAAAAGAGAGACACGGAGAGGTCCATGTGTGCATGAATCGTGTATTGGTCTGCATGCATCGCTCCCTCACCTGGCAACAGCTGTAGAGCAATGATCAGACACTCCTCCTCACTCACGTGGCCGTCCTGGTGCTCGATGACGAGCGTGGCGGGGCTGCTGGGGTCGGTATGGCAGTGGGGCTCGTATATGCCGACGAGGGGCGACTTGCCCAGCACCGACCTCAGCCGGTCCCTCTTGATCTCGGCCTCCTTGATCAGCCGCTCCCTCCTGTCCGCGTGGTTGTAAGGCAGGACAAACAGCTTCAGCGCTGACGATCTGGCGCCGCCGGGTGCAGATTTGGATGGAGTAAGTGCATCGCAGCCGTATAAGTCCACACATATAAGACGAGAGACGGCGATCTATCTGCACACACAGACACGAGACACAACGCACACGGGAGTTGATCACTATAGTGTATTTCGACAGCTCACATTCGATGTGCGAATGGCCAGACAGCGGTGCGATGCGGTGAAAAGGCGTCATCGGTCGATCAAAATATAAAATGTAGCCAGCGATCTGCACACCACCCGAAAGCACAGACACGAACAGGAAATGCACCTGACTGATTTCTGTTCGTTCTGTGTATAGGATCTTTCATACCGCCGTGGACAATGATACCCTCCGATGGGCCATGAAGGGCCTCGCTGAGCTGTAGGATTGAGCACAAGATTGCCAAGACAAAGAGTATGATGGACGGATGCACTCTTTACAAGCGCTCCTGCATCTGCTGCTGCCCGGGCACATAGGGCAGGTGGACCTGCTGGTGGGGGAACGGGTTGCGAATACGAGTGGGCAGCAGACCGTCGCAGCCGGCCATCTGGGGTCCGATAGTGTAGCTGGTGGCTGTCGGCTTGTGCTGCTGCCTTCGGGGACGTTGTGCTCCTCTGCTGAGGCCATGATGCTGTTATACACGTGACTGAATGCGTCGTCCACGCCGCCCTTCCTCAAGCGCATGCAGGCCGGCGTGCTTTCCATGATGGGCATGCCGCTGCAGATGCGGCGTCGTCTCAGTGGACTGCTCGGTGCTGGTGTGCATGGTGCGGCCGTGGTGGGGCGGCGGAGAGTGCGATCGGCTGACGGGGTCGGTGGACTGGAAGGATGCGGTGAAGTTACTGGGCCGGCGAGGCCGGGAGAGAGGGAGAGAGGGCAAGAGGGCGGGAGGGCGAGAGGGAGGGGTGGCGAGGCTGCTGCGGGTAGGGAGCAGACTTCTCATGCTGGGTCGCGGCAGCTGACGCAGGGGGTTCGCCTTTCCCTGGTCCCTCTTGAGACTCCTTGACACGTCCGTTCTGGCCTGACGGTGGAGAGGCGGCGCCCTCTGCCATTGCCTAGAGAACACAGCACAGCGCAGCACAGCACAGCACAGCAGAGAGCCTCAAGTGTTGTGTAACTGGATTGATGTGCGCATGATGTAGACACGTACCTTCTCCAAATCGTCTTCGTACTTGTTGATCATTATCTTCATATCCCTCCCCTCCACCATCCCCTGGACCGACTCCAGGAAGGCCTTGTACTCCTGCAGTGAGTGAGCAGGCAAAAATACTGTTAATGGTCTGCCTGCCAGTGTGCCGGTGTGCCTCCCGTCCCTTGCTCACCGCAGGGTGCTCGCGCGACATGCGCAGGAACTTCAGCACTTGGGCCTCCCTGGAGTCGGCGTTGACGTCGGGGACGTCAATCCCTCTAGACATGAGGGTCTGCCTCATGGCACTGCATACATGCATACAGGCAGGCAGGCAGGTTGGTGTTGTGTTGTGTTGTATTGTGTTGTGTTGTGTTGTATTGTGTTGTGTGTGTGTGCGTGGTATGCATGCCATTGTGGCGTTGAGGAACGGTTTGGCCGCACCCTTGGGCGGCTTCTTGCCCTTGTTGTCTGCACACATGGATCCATCGATAGAATCCATGTCATGTATGCATCCACGCATGCGAGTCTATCCACGCATACCTACCGTTGATGGCGTCGATGTTGATACGGCTGAAGCGAAAACGACGGCTGCCGTGCGCCTGGGACTGCGATGCGCTCGAAGAGACACCAACGCTAACCTGACCAGAACAGACCAAGCCGCGGCAGTTGTATGGAGGAATGTGGCACTCACAACTGGACGTGTGAATCTGCGTGCCTCTTGCTGACCTCAGGCACTGCACACTCGGGCGAAGCACCATCGGAATCGCAATCGTTGATGTCTGGCGTGTGTGATGGGCGTGGCGGTGTGTGTACTTACCGTTAGGTACGGTGGACTGAGCGGCAGCTGCTGGTGCATCAATCCACCCAGTGCAACCACACACACACAACACACATGCATAGACCAGGATGTCTGCCCGTGTCTATTCGCTCGTCGATGAGTAGCCACTTACGCGTGGCCTGGTCCACGTCCACACTGCCCGACGTCTGGGGTACCTGCAAAAAAAACAAAACATACACACACACAACACGTGTTTCCTCGTGTGTGTGTGCATCTTCCCCCGTTCACCTCTTCAGTATTCTCCTGCTGGTTGCTGTGAGGCTCCTGTTCGTACTCCGGGTTGGCCTGGTGAGCATCTGAGGCGTCCTGCGTGTACTGGTCAGTGGCGGCCGGAACGTTCCTGCCCATGTTGCCCGCATCGACGTTGGTGAGGAAACTCATCTGCAAGAGCATGAAGCCATCCATGCAGCATGCTCTTCCCGACGTGCGTTGTTGCTGGCTTATGGCTTACGTTGGGGAGCGAGCGGGACTTGGCCAGCATGGTTGTGGTGGACGCCATCTCTATCGTCACGAACGGCCCGCGCTGAGCAGCAACGAAGACATGCAGCCAGAGAGACATGACGTCCCGCTTTCTCTCCTCCACCCTCCACCCTCCTCCCTCCCCCACCCGCCCTTCCTACCATCTCCTGAGCAGACTTGATGAGGAACTCGCTAGCCTCGTCCTCAGCTCGCTACCCTCGCGGGTCCGCCGAGCCGCTCGACAAGTGGCCTTTGGGGCCTCCCTGCTACTGAAAGTCGACCCTTTCAGCATCCGCGCGGAGACATAGAAGGAATCGACGCCAAAATATAAAATGAAGGCAGCAATTGGTCGCCTAAGACAGAGACACAGATACCCGCACACAGAAACAACATAAGTCACGGACATCACATACAGGGGGGTCGTGTGTCGATTGCGATGAATGTGTGATGGCCGGCCGACTGACCGAGGACTGACCGAGATTGGATTGGGGGTGGTGGCGAGGAGGGGTTCGTATGCGCTGTGGACGACGACGCCAACACGCTGCTCCTGGAGGTTACGTGAGGAGACGTTGCTTGCTTCTCACACGTGACCAGAAACCGCCTGCACACACAGAGACAAACCATTCATCAAAGGACGCATGTACACATGTGACGCGTGTGTGTGTCTCTCACCTGTCTGTAAGGTAGGCATGTGCAGGGGATCGATGGATGACAAGTATGTGGGTGGGGGGTGGGTCGGTGATGGAACGAAAAAAAAAAACTCAGTCAGTTGGTGTGCAGTGCACGCATGGCATGGACCCCCCAACTCAGACAGCCAGCCAGCCAGCCACATAGACAGACAGAAAATAGACGGACGTGCAGACGGACGATCGATAACATAACTGACGCGAACAGACGGGCATCCAATCCACACAAACAGACAGACGTGACACCAGCACCACACTCATGACATGACATGACATGACATGACATGACATACACGAGCACGTCCATCCACGCACACGGCCGCTCGCCCTCCCGACCCTGTTTTGCTTTTTGTTTTTTCTTTTGTTTTGGCTTTTCTGTTTTTTCTTTTGTTTTGGCCTTTCTGCTTTTTTTGTTTGGCTTTTGTCCCCCTCGATGGCTGCTCTCTCCCTCTCCTCCTCTCTCCTCTCTGCTGGCCCTCTCTCGCCATCGCCCCACCTCGACAACAGTGGTGCTAACTTAGGCAAACACGCACATGCACTACGTCTCTGCTACGCCTCTTCCTCTTCTCCCATCCCGCACGTCAGTGGCATGGGTGGGCGTCAGGTGCGGCCAGCCCGGGCGGCGCCGCGAAGTGAGTAGCGCCCCTCTTGTATCCCCTCCGTGTCCTTGATCTCACTCCGCAGCCGCGACCTCTTGTCGCTGGGGCCCTCCTGCTGGTGTGGGTGGTCGCCGTGGGGGTCAGCGTCGCCCCTCTTGCCTTCCTGGCTGCCGCCGGCGCCCATGCCCGCCTTGCCCGCTCCCGCCGCTGCCTTGGCCTTGGCTTTGGCCCTCGCGCGCTTCTGGCACCGCTCGTCGCTGTCCGTGTGGGCGAGGTTTGGGGACGATGGCGTGAGGGGAGGGGGTGGTCGTCATCGTCCACAGCCATGGCGTTGTCGAAGCGGTTCAGCTGGTGCGCCGGACGCTTGGCGACCTCCATCGCCTGGTTGGCCTCCCGCGACGCCGTCTCGAAGATGACGATGGCACCCTGAACGAATCAGTCACGGACATCACCAACAAAGATGGTGGGGAAAACATGAACACATGGATGTGTGCGCGCGTTGAGTGTCTCTGTTGTCCTTACCGAGAGGTAGTGGTCGAGTCCGTGGACGTAGGCCTCTCCCGCTGCTGTGATGCGGGCAGCCAACTCGTGGCTGTTGATGAGGCGGTGGCGGCTGCGGCTGCGAATCGAGTTGACATCGGCCCAGTAGCCCCGCTCCAACGGCACTGCGGGCACCCAGTGGGGGAAGGAGTGGTCGTCGCAGCTCCACTCATCGTGTACACACTCGCATGCGGACCTTGTGTGTCAATCGGGGGCTCAGAGGGCCACTACCGTACAGGATCGACAGAGAGGGGAGTAAGACATATAGATCAGGGTTCCTGAGAGACACAACAGACACACAAAGGCCACATAAACAAGGCTCTTCCTTCTGTCTGTTTGCTGGTTGCTCACCAGGTGTGTCGGTCGGGCGGTCAGATGAACGCATTATGTATTTGGACGACTCGGCGAGGGCAACTGAATGGATGGCAGACGGCAGACACATGATGCACTCTCGTCTCTCTGTGTATCGTGCGTGTCATCAAGTGCGATGCCCACCTGATGCGTCGACAGCACGAGACGGTGACACACTCATCGGTGTCGGACGGTGGGTGGCATGTATGGCGTAGTTGGCGGGCCCCCTCGCAATGGATTTCAGACGCACTCGGTGAGTGCGCTCTGGCGATCAAGCGGCTGTACGAGTCGTCGCGCGATGCTGCCTTCCTGGTGAGCTGCTCAGAGCATGTCGGTGTGCCGTGGAGACCCACGTCAACACCGCGTTTCCATCATGCCGGGCATCGACACCCTGACACACACCACACAGAGAGAGAGGGTTGGTGGGTGTGCGGCAGAGAGAGGGGGCTGAGGGTGTGCGAGAGATGGTACCTTACCTTGCGCCGGATCGCACTGAGAGGAGTAGCATGCAGGCGGCTGACAGACAGCAGACCTGCATGAGATGAGCATAAACAACACACATGGAGGGATTCAGCATGCTAAATGCTGTTCATTGGTGAGTGCCGTGTGTCTGACCTGCTGGCTGCCTGCAGTGGATGAGTGGTGGTCCTCTCTCTCTCCCTCTGTCGACTTCTGTTCTCTCCCCTTCATGTCCCCTCTTCCCCCCGGCACACGCAGTCTCTCTTCCTCAGGTTGGCTGCCAGCCCAAAAGCACCCGGGCACCCAGGCACCCTTGATGGAAATGACGACAGAAATGACAATGACAATAACTAAAGGACGCACGAACGAACTCAAAGGGGCAGACAGGCGGCAGGAAGGCGGACAGGCGAACGCAAAATGCACCAATCATGTCATGGAGCAGCACAGCCAGGCCATGGATGGGGAAAAGGGGACATTCATGCAGCCATCACAAAGCTTTTCGGAGAGCACCATACCATGGCCAGAAAGCCGGCCATGGCCTCTCCCTTTTCTTGTCTTTTTTTGCGGCAGCCATGCCATGACCTCTATGCATCCAAGGGAGTGACCCTCCGCCTTCTCGCTCCACCCACAAAACTCACCATTGCATTGCAGCCACCCAGCCAGGCACCCCGGTCGTCAGCCAGGCACAAGATACCCCAGATACCCCCCCACTGCACAAGAACAAAACCTCAGCCCCACACATACCAGCCGCTGCTGCCGGTGGCGGACTGTGTGTGTGGGAGGTCTGCTGGGGGCGAGGTGGGGCGAAGGACTATCTCGTCAACACGACTGATGGAACACAAGAGGCAGAAAGCATCTGGTTTGTATGTGCTGGACGCCTCACTTGTCTTTGTGTGTATCTGTGTGCGTTTGGCTGACCTCTAGGCACGACTGAAATGACTATGCGAACCTCTTCGGCCACGACCACGCAGCGTCACCCGATGGTTGGAGCCGATGGTTGCAGCAGACGGAGAAGGGGTTGAGGAAGGATCCCCAGAGCCCCTTCTTGCCCGCCTGCTTGGCCTTGCTCCCCCGCTTCTGCTTGCCCTCGGTGCTGGTGTGGGTGGTCTTCGTCTTGGTGGTGGCACCGTCCCTGGGCAGCTCGTACTTGGCCGCGATGAAGGCCGCGACTGCGGCATCGATGCCCAGGTCATGCTCGTCCACCGCCCGCTCCTTCGGCTGCTCGCCACGCCGCCTGCTGATGGCCTCCTCCCTCTTCTTGTGCCACGCCTCGTTGGCCGCCTTGAGGGTCATCCAGGCCTCGTACGAGTCCTCGCTCGTCCGATCGTCGATGCCCTCCTGGAGTTTCTGGATTCTGCGGCGGTAGGCCTCGATGATCTCATGCAAGTGCGAATTGTGATGCACACACACATTGGAAGAGAGGCGGCATGAGAGGAATGCAAAGCGGGTGGTGCCTTCCTTCCTCCCCGACCTGCCTCGGCCAAAAGGTCCTCCGCCTTCCTCTGACGCACCATACATACACAATGCCCTTCTCAGTCTCACCAAAACAAGGGCGTGGTGTGTATACAAATGAACGTGTGCATCAGACACACCTGGTCTGGTCGTGGGGGCCTTCCCTTGCTCCATGAGCCAACAGTCGTCCTGCAGCTAGGCCAAAATATGCTCTCAGTGGCCGCCGGAGCGGCCAAGTATGCGAAGAAAAAAGAGAAGAGAAGAGGGGAGACATGAGCAAATCTGTCTGAGAGCCTCTTTCACCTACGTACCTGCGGCGCCGCCGGGGATATCAAAGCGAATTATAACAGCCAATCTTGAATGAAGTACGTAGGAGAGGCCCACCGATGTAAGGTGTAAGCGGCGATCGCTCTGCACACACAGACACGAGACGCGTGCAGGTCGATCAGTCTGCTTTGACAGCTCACATTCAATGCGCACACGGCTGGGAAGGCAGTGCGGTAGAGGGTCGTCATCAGTCGATCAGATATAAAATGTAGCCAGCGATCTGCGCACCAGCAACAAATACATACACACCGTACCGGGTCCTGGTCCTTCTCACGCTGCCCACACACAAGACGGGCAAGGTGTGCTTGTCTCTCCTTCTTCTCTCGCCTCGCGCACCTCTTCGGTCGAGCGCTGCGCCAACTGCAGACTCTCGGGTCTCGGTGAAGTTGCTTTCGGCCTGAATCAGCCACACAGAGAGCACAACACACTATCTTCCTCCAAGTCATATTGTGCACGCAGGTCAATGAGTTCGATCACTTGGCTCACCGTCACGGTGCAATTGAGGTGCTTATGGGGCTTGTCCCACTTCAACGCGCCACTGACGTATTGACCCGGCCTCTTCACACACACACACACACTGTGCTTCTCTGCGTACTTGCGTGTGTGTGTGTGTGTGTATGTGCATCTGTGAGCGCGTCCATCTCCCCCTCCACCTTGGCAGCGACGTGTCTGTCGTAGAGCGCCCGGCCGTCACTGCTCTCGATAAAGAAGGCCCCCGCCTCCCCGTAGATCTCTGTGTTGGCGCTGCTGCCGTCGGGGTGGTCCATATGAGGGGCGATCAGCAGGGCAGCCGACAGTGAGCAGACGGGGCACGTGTCTGCGGCCTCGCTGAATGGCAGGCGGAGGGCGGGGGTTGGCGCCACGGTCGTGCTGCTGGTGGTGGCGTGCGGCTGATGACGGCCTCGATGGTGGCTGCGACCTTTCTGAGGGCAGCAGGGTCGGCGTGCGGGCCCGGCACTGGGGCGGGGTCGACGTCACGTAGCGTCGACGGCAGGGAGGGAAGCGGCTGCTGTGTCTCCGACCGGCGCCTCGCCATCTCAAAGTCAATCCAGTGGTCTCTACTCGATATGCGCGCGACCACACCATCATTGCTTGGCCAACATGCGTCTCTCGGTGGCGGCCGAAGCCGCCAAAGATGCGTCAACAGACAAGAAGGGACACGATCATGAAGTGCCTTCATCGTCTTCCTTTCTCCCTCACTTACGTACCTGGCGGGCCGCCGGGCGCAGATTTGGATGGAGTAGGTGCATCGCAGCCGTATAAGTCCACAAATATAAGACGAGAGACGGCGATCTATCTGCACACACAGACACGAGACACGCACACGGGAGTTGATCACTATGGTGTATGTCGACAACTTACATCCGATGTGCGAATGGCCAGACAGCGGTGCGGTCCAAAGGCGTCATCGGTCGATCAAAATATAAAATGTAGCCAGCGATCTGCACACCACCCGAAAGCACCGACACGTGTTAACAGAAATCCACCTGACTGATTTCTGTTCCTTCTATGTATAGGATCTTTCATACCTGATACCCTCCGGCCCTCCCCGCCTCCACGCAGCAGCACCCCTCCTCCGGTGGCGTCCAGGTCACCACCCACACACCGGCCCTCCGCTGCCAGTGGGCCAGGTCCCACTGGGTGAGGGCGCTGGCATAGTAGCCATCGGCGCCCTCACCCCACTCCCCAGCCCTCACGAGCACCTTCTTGGTGGTGCCGGCAGGCTGCTGCTGGTGCTGGTTCTGGTCGTCGGTGGAGGTCTTGGCAGCTTGCTTCCTTCTGCAGAACGGCGGATTGACCAAAGAGCACAGCACAGCAGAGCAGAGAGCATCAGTTAATTAATTGCGTCTTGTGTGCAGATGGATGTGTGTGCGATGTACGTACGTACCTGCTCGGCGTCGTCAGCGTACTTGAGCATCATCATCTTCATATCCCTCCCCTCCACCGTCCCCCGGACCGACTCCAGGAAGGCCTTGCACTCCTGCAGCAAGTGAGCAGGCAAAAATACTGTTAATGGTCTGCCTGCCAGTGTGCCGGTGTGCCTCCCGTCCCTTGCTCACTGCAGGGTGCTCGCACTTCATGCGCAGGAACTTCAGCACGTGGGCCTCCCTGGAGTCGGCGTTGACGTCGGGGACGTCAATCCTTCTAGACATGAGGGTCTGCCTCATGGCAGCGGCGGCTGGCGTACGGGCGGGCATCTTCTCCTCTCTCTCTCTCTCTCTGAGAGCTTGGGATCTATCTGGTGCACAGACAGACACGAGACACGCACACGGGTGCCTTCCTTACTCCCCGACCTACCTCGGCGAAAAGGTCCTCCGCCTCCCTCTGACGCACCAAACATACGCACACACGAAGGAGGAATCCATTCACTCATTGCGGCGGCCAGCCACGTGTATGCCCTCTGCGCTGCCCACCTTGGCGGCTTCGTCTGTCTAGTTGGAGTTGTCAAACTCAGCCTTGAGGAACTCGTATGCCTCGGACAGCTCCTGGAACTGCTCCTTGAACCCGGCAGGCTTGTCTTGGTGAACCTTCTGCACACACACACACACAAAGCCCCGCATGCCGCGCGATACGCTGCACCCCTTCTCTCTTTCTAGCGGCGCTGGTTGTGCTGTGAGTACCGAGTTCAGGCCTAGCACATCCCAATAGCGGCGGCGCGTATCGTCTGACGCCACTGACATTGTGGCTACTCTGCTTTGTCCACAACCGCGGCGACTAACAGCCACTGCACACAGACGTGCAGAGACAGAGAGATGCTGCTCTCTTTCTCCTTCCCCCTCCGTCTCTATCTTTACCTTTTCTTCAGGCCGTCATGATTGATTGATGTCCATTCTGGTGCGGGGGCAGAGGGCAATCGATCCCAACCGATATAAAATGAAGGCAGCGATTCTCGAGGCCTGACACACACACGCAGAGATGAAGGGATGCCTGTCAGTCAGTGTCGTGCGTGCGGTAGCTAGGCACCTCTCGTTTGAACGCAGCGCTCCGGGCCTGTAGCTTCTTCTTGGCGGCCTGCCAGGCCTGGATGGCAGCATACACACAAATGAATGTGGATGGATGCATGGATGGATGGATGGATGGATGGACGTACGGGCCGGCGTCTGGTGTGACGGTCTGCCTGTCTGCTTTGCTTTATGTTTACCTTTTCTTCTGGCCGTGACGTCGGGCTGGCCCATGACTGTCCAAGCTGCCCACATCTCGCCGTCCCTACCTGCTGCTTCACCAACTGCTGCCTTCACCATGAAAGGGCTGCCGCCCACTCTACCCCGGGGCACGGATCGTTCCCGTAAACCTCATCAACTTGATGAGGCGGGGACCCCCAAGGCCCTAATCAGTCCTCACCGCCACCAGCAGCAGCGTCTCGGCTCGGGTGACTCCTCCCTCCTCAGGAGCCGCATCGGCGGCACCATGGTGGGGGGCGGCAGGGGGAAGTGCGGTGGTGGTGGTGCTGCTCGTGAGGGAAGAGGGAAGTGGCGGGTTGGTGCGGCTGCGGGTGAGGGCAGGGCGTGGCGGGGTGGTGCTGCTGGGAGGGGAGGGGGAGGGAAGGGGTGCTGGTATGGGAGGGGCAGGTGCAGTGCTGGTGGTGGGAGGGGCACGAACGGGGGCGGGACGTGTGAGCGCTGCCTGAAGTCCATGGGCCCCCTTGGCGGAGGATAGTCCATCGGGTGGTGTGGGGGGTACATGATGTGCGGGGGCCGAGTGATGTCCATTCTGGTGCGGTGGCAGGGGCCAATCGATCCCAACCAATATAAAATGAAGGCAGCGATTCACACTGATGAATGAAGCACCACACACACACACACACAGAGAGAGAGAGAGAGAGGGAGAGACGGATGGCTGCAGTCGGGCATCGTGTGCGTGCAGCTCTCGTCGCCCACCTCGTCAATCAGTCTACACAATCGACAGATGCAGTCGTTTAGACGCTGACACAGGCGTTGATCATCAGGCGGTGTGGAGAGTGGGAGTCGCCGCGTGGCTGTTCTGGTCGCCCTGTGTTGGCCCTGTGTTCAGCTTCTCGTGGTGGCCGCACGGGAAGGGGGCGTCGCCTCGGCGGTGTCGGTGGCGGCCGGAGTGTGTGCAGACGCCAACTGCAAATACATATGAGACCACAACAGGACAGGAGGGAAAATGAACCATGAAGGCGATGGAAGGGAATCTCTGTCAGTCAGTGTTATGCGTGCGGTAGCTAGGCACCTCTCTTCGTAGATGGCCCAGCAGCTCATGGAGACGTCCTTTGTCGGTTGGCCGACCTGACTTGCCAGACGCCTTTGTCGCCTTTCACCCGTGTCCACCACTCCCACTCGTCGGGTGTGGGGTTGTACTTCCAGCCATCCTTGGCCGCATCCTGGGCAACGACCATCACGCGAGAAGGACCGATGGTTGTTGCCCATCTCCCTCTCCCTCTCTCTGTCTCGATCTGCCCACCTGGGTGTGGAGTGGTCGTGTGCGTCGCAGTAGGCAAGCAGCTCTTGTTCGAGGGCAGCGATGCGGGCCTGTAGGTCCTTCTTGGCGTCCTGGATGGCAGCATACACACGAATGAATGTGTCCAGATCGATTGATAAGCGTACGAGGGGCCAGCGTTAAGCTTGTGTGTGAAGGTCTGCTTTGCTTACGTCTCGCTGCACCACCATCCCCGCCAGTCTCGTCTGCACACATCAATGCACAATGCGCAGATGGACATATCGCATCGCGTGCAGAGAGAGAGCATCGAACGACTGTGCATGGTCGCACCTGTCGGCTCGCGAGTGTGTCGATGCTGTCCCTCGCCAAGGCGGCGGAGGGCGGCCGTAGCCAAGATGGTGATGCTGAGGCATGTCAGGGGGTGGCCCTTCGTGCGGTGGCATGTCTGCGTCGGGGGGCGGGGGCGCGTCGCGATAGGCACGCAGCTCGTTTTCGAGGGTACGGATGCGTTTCTGGATGGCAGCATACACACAAATGAATGTGTCCAGATGGATTGATAAGCGTACAGGGTGCCAGCGTCAAGCTTGTGTGTGAAGGTCTGTCTGTCTGCTTTGCTTACCCCTCGCTCCCTCGCCAGCTGCACCAGCTTGTCCTGCACACATCAATCAATGCACAAGAAATGCCCAGATGGACACATCGCATCGCGTGCAGAGGGAGAGCATCGAACGACATAGGTCTGTGCATGGTCGCACCTGTCTCTCCTGGAACTTCTCGATGCTGCCCATGGCACGGAAGAGCGCCTTTTTGAATACAGACACCATTCTTTGTGGATCTCGTTCTTTGTCCCCACGGTTGCTGCCTGAAGACTCACTCTCGTAGTAGTAGTGCTCTTTGATGAACATCTCCAGCCGCCATCTCGGCCCCTTTAGCAACTCTGCATCGTAAACCGACACGGACATGGAAAGAGCCGTGCACACGCACCTAGCACTCGTGCGTCCTGACTAGCGGGCATTCCCTTGTGACTCACGGCGCGCCTCCTCTGCGATTATAAATTGGTGCTCATCGAACGCGGCGGTTTTCTCAGCGGTGGACGCCGTCATGAAGTCGACTGGCGCCGCCGCTGCTGCTGCTGGTCGTCATCGCCGCCAAAGCCGCTGCTGTAGGCACGCAGCTCTAGTTCGAGGGCAGCGATGCGGCTCTGGATGGCAGCATACACACAAATGAACGTGTCCAGATGGATTGATAAGCGTACGGGGGGCCAGCGTTAAGCTTGTGTGTGAAGGTCTGCTTTGCTTACGTTTCGCTCCTTCGCCAGCTCCACCAGCCTCTCCTGCACACATCAATCAATGCACAACAAATGCGCAGATGGACATCACATGCAGAGAGTGAGCATCGAACGACATAGGTGTACTTATTGTGCATGGTCGCACCTGTCTCTCCTCGAGCTTCTCGATGCTGGCTTTGGCGCGGCGGAGCGCCTCTTTCAACCCCCTCGACTCCCTTGCACGCACAGGCACACAGACACCATTGTGGATCTCGTTCATTGTCCCCACTATTGCTGCCTGAAGACTCACGCTTCCAGTGGTGGTGCTCTTCGAGGAAACTCTCCAGCCGCCATCTCGGCCCCTCTATCAACTCTGCATCTAAACCGAAACGGACATGGAGAGATGACGTTCAACACTCGTGCGTCCTGGCTAACGGGCTTTCTCTTGTGACTTACGGCGCGCCTCCTCTGCGATTGCAACTTTGTGCTCCTTCAACGCGGCGTTCTTCTTAGCGGCGGACGCCGTGAGGAGGTCGACTGGCGCCGCCGCTGCTGCTGCAAGTAGTGCTGCTGGTAGCGGCGACGGCATTCTCATCTCAGGGGGCGGCATGGCGGCGACTCTAATCTGCTTTTCTCCTTCTCTCAAACGCGAGCTTTTGAAAGAATCGCCGCCGTGGCCTGCGGGCACAGGACAGGACAAGCACAGGACAAGCATCAACAAAGAGAAAGAACAGGTGCATACGTACTTCCTGTGTCTTCATGGGTACATCTTAGTATGTCCGTGCGTTGACGTCTGTTGTCCAGGTCTAGCTTCTCATCCAACAGCTGAGGAATAGATACATGATACATCCACGCAGATGTCAGGCAGAACGTGGGAGAAGTGCGAGTGTGTAGGCTCATACTTTAGAGATATGCGCAACCTCCTAGTAGCGCAGTATTGTTGAGAAGGTCTCCATACGGAGACGTTGCCAAACACTGTCAAAGCCACACATGTCCCAGATACGCACAGCCGAGGGGCATACCTCTTATGTACTTGTACGCCTCACCACGGTTGCCGGTCAGGAAATCCTACATTCAACGCGCAACGTCACAGCTTTCGCTGTACACCTGAAGCAACAGAGAGAAACAAATTGATGAAAGGCATTCACACATGCGTGGCGTTCCCCTTGACTAGAAGGTCATAAGCTGAGACACACAGCAGAATACAGTATGTTCTCTTATTTCTCTCCACATCTGGGACTCAGACTGGGAGATTGTATTTGTAAACTGTTTGAGGGAGTCATTCTGCTTCTCAGAGGAGCGGACAAGGAATGGCAGAGCAGAAGTCTGAATCTTGACAATCACATTCGTTTTGCTGAACCTGGTGGGAGTCGTCGAGATAGAGAGACGGCCTCTTCGAAAATACCTCCACCTGCGGACAGAGGGAGGCACATCAAAATGGGTCACACATTCATCTGTGACATCCCAAAGAGACTTAACGCACGAGGCCGCGCACCTCACCAAATGACTACCAAATGTGCTACAACCTTCTTCGTCGCTGCTGAACAGCATGTCCTCATCCTCGTCTTTGCCGCTGGGCATAGGAAAGCCATCCTACAACACCGGCACATGCAGCAGGCACACACATCGTCACACCGCACCACCGCACCACCACACACTTGTACTGACCTGCTGGAGCCTCAGGTTTTCTCGAAAAAAGAAGGAAGATGCCGTCGCGCTTCGCCGACACCAGGCAGTCGTCAGGCGCTCCGCTGAAGCCAGGGCGCGGCCTCCTTGTTGGGAAGGGAGGTGGACGAAAGAAGTGGCGCCGACATTCGCGCAAGAGGGCAGGCGCGGGACGGGATGATGCGGGCCACATGGGATAAAGACCAGCAAAAAAGACGAGGATACGGAGGAGAAGTGGCGGGCGGAAGGCAGAAGAGCAGTGGAATGCCCGAAATGCCTGGAAATTGTGTTCAGAACGGTCTTTTCTCGTCCCGTCTCCTGCGACGAGATTTTCACGTGCGAGCTTTTTCGCTTTCTGCGAGCTTAGAAATTGCGTTCTCTTTCTCTCCCGTGTCCCCTGCGGGTATTGGCGGCGAAGAGGACGGTCAGGTGCCTGATCTTTAAATTCATTCATGAATCCGGATGGCTCGCCGGGATTGGCACTGACTTCTTCCTGATTGCTCGGCAGTGTCAAGCTCGTGTTGATGAACATGAACATTCTTTCACGTGCACTTAGTTTCATCAATCAATCAATGGGCATGCAGGCAGGCAACACAAAAATGAGTGGCTATTCATACAAACATCCGGACAAGCCATCCGGCTTCATACATGGACGAGCAAAGAGTGCACGCACTCCACTTCCACACATGGCCGGCCCCCCACCCAGACAGCGAAATGACGGCCGTCCCTACTACCCTGCCCAATTGACCCTGCCCCTCCTTCCGTCAACCAACAAACAAACAACCATGCTCAAAACTATCCAGCCCATGCAGTCAATTCGTTCACGAATCATGAATTCACTCATCCCCCACTCAATCCCCCTCTCCTTCATGGACACAGGAAAAAAGACGAGCAACAGAGAGGGGGAAAAAGGAGAGACGACACGCACACGCTGGTTGCGGCACGCCCTTACAGCTGTTGTCTGCACAAGGGAACTAGAAAGCAGCATTCAATCACTGCCTGTACACGGACCGGCCGTTGAAAGCATCATCCCTCTGCATACAAGGACATACAGACAGCTACCCCCGCGTCACGCACCCACCCTGCTATCCACCCCCACATGCCCTCCTGGTGCTTCCGCCAAAGCGGAGCCAAAATGCACACAAGCCCCACCCCAAACAAAAGAAGAAGAAGACTAGAAAAAACAACCAAACACAATCATCCACCCCCAATTGGCGTCGTGTGCGCCTGTGTCATGTCGAAGTCGCTGCAACACCGTCCTACGCCTAGTGCCTCTCTGATAGCGATGCTGAGGGGGTGTGTGGTGACGAAGTCCTTGTCGAGCATGATCAGTCTTCGTCCATCTTGGGGACCACGAGATGTCGCTCGGGGTGCTCCGACAGCTCCAGCAGCGACTTGCTCACCTAAAGCCCATATCAGAGACACCGGCACACCACACCGTGGACCCCTAGTCACCCCACCACCCACAGACACACCACCACCACCACCACCATAACCATGAGCACTACTGCCATCCACGACACAATCGCTGCTACGACAGCCCAGTTCAGTGTGCTGCTGCTGCCGCTGCTTTGCGGCCAGCGCACATGACCTCATCTCGTGTGTCAGGTCTCGTGCTGGTGCTGGGTGGTGGTCGGCTGTGGGTGGTGCATAGATGGGTGTGTTGTCCTGTGTGCTCGTGGTGGCAATGCTGTGGCCGCTAGAGTTCTCCCTGGCCTTGAGCAGACACGCCCGTGTCTTGACACTCAAGGGCTTCCGAATCGGCAGGTGAGACACAGCACGGCGATACTAGCGAAATACAAGTATAATACGTATGCCCCGTGCATGGAAACGAATGTGTACGTGATAGATACATACATACAAAAAGGATAAGGTGCAGGTGTGCGTGTGAGTGTGGGTGTGGGGGTTGTTTACCTTGCGTAGGACGCCCATGTCTCGCTCCTGCTGGGCGATCGACGCGGCATGGGTGGCGGGGCTCTCATCCATCCCCATCACAGACACCACATCGTCACTCGTCAACGCTTGCAGGAACTGCACTCACACACACACACACACAGGACTGACGAGAAGGCGTGTGGTGTGTGTTGTGTGGTTGGCTGACCTCGTCATAGTCGATGCGTCCGTTTTTCTTGTAGTCGCACGCGTGGATGATGTCCTCTATCCTGGTGCCATCGAAGGTGTCCCCGAGAACCTCCCGCAGGTTCTCCGCACTGATGTAGCCCGTCTTGTCCACATCAAACCTACCACACATACAGACACATGCGCATAAAGAGCGATGTGGAAGCGTGACATGTGTGGTGGGTGCATCCATCCAACATACCTTTGGAAAGCGTCTCGGATCATGGACTCCTGCAGGACGAACTTGGCCTGCATCGTGGCAGCCAAGAACTCTGCAGAGAGCAGACAGAGAGGGAACAAACGTGGCAATGTGGGCTGCCCCCTCTGTGTGTGTGTGGCTGCGTGTGGGTGTACCCGAGTAGTGGACCTCGTGGTCGCCAGTCACATCCATTTTCTGAGCGGGATGAAGGAAAGGACAGCATGTTCCTTGGCCTCTTGCTCTGCGCGTGTGTGTATGTGTGTGTGTGTCTGTGTGTACCTGGAAGACCTTCCTGGCCTCTGCCTCGGGTATCTTGAGCACCTCAGTCATCGCATCCTTCAACTCGTGCAGCTGCAGACAGATAGACCACACACACGCACACACATCCATCCATCCATGTGCACTTCCACCCACCCACACACGTACCAGTATGGTTCCGTTCTTCTCCCTGTCCAGTTTGAGGAATATCTTCTCGAGCTCCTCCACCTCATCGCTGTTCATCGACAAGGCTATCACCCCCAACGCCGCACGCTTCATGCCGTTGAACGCCGCGAACCTGTCAATGGGTGGACATGGAGGAGGACGAAGCATGTCGTGCACAGGTGCGTGTGCGTGTCGTCTTGTCGTGCTCACTTCTGCATGTTTTTGAGGACGTTGAGGTCGATCTCGTGGTCGTCATTGGTCTTGAGGCACTCAAACCTGACGTCACACAGGCAGGGATGTCTGGGTGTGTCCAGCGGTCGGCTGTCTGTCTGTCCGTCGGTTCCTCACCATTTGTGTTTGAGCGCCTTTTCAGCTGACGGCCTCTCATCGGGATTCTTCCTGAGGGACGAAACAGCCACACAGATGGGGAATCCCAGCATGCAGATGCGTCCGTTGATGCGATATTACTTGAGCAGCGCACTGATGAAGTTCTTGGCGTCCTGAGAGATGCCCTCCCACCTCGGACCTTCAAACGAAAACACAGCTGCATCCAACACAACACACAACACAGAACAAAGAACAAAGAACCAAGGCAGACAAACGATCAGACACCCGCTGCTGGATGGCCCGTGTCTGTCTGTCTGGCCATGAGCCACACCCTGACGTACCCCGCTTGATCTTGGCGAGTATCTCGTGGTCCTGTGTGCCGTTGAATGGCGGCGAGCCGCTCAGCAACATGAACACTATCACACCTGACACACAAACCACACACACACACGGCACGCAGAGACAGACGAATGGGGGCGTGCGGTTGGCTGCGTAAGCTATCAGCGTACTGACCGATGCTCCATATGTCGCATTCCTCGTTGTAGGCCCCGTCCATGACCTCGGGGCTGACGTAGTAGACGGTGCCGTGCATGGCCGTCATCGGCACACCAGGGTTGAAGATCCGCGAGAAACCAAAATCAATCTGGTCGCCGTCATCAATCGGAATACACCGACACAGCAAAGATGTATGTGTCAGCGGCCACCCGTCCATCTACCACGTGTGCGTACCAGTTTGAGTGGCGCATCTTCTGCCGGGGTAGCATACACCCAATTCTCAAGCCTGACACATTCCATAGCACACCACACCAACCGTCATTCGGTCGTGTGTGGATGGTTGTGTGTTTGGCTTACTTGAGGTCCCTGTGGCAGATTTTGTGTTTGTGGCAGTAGTTGATGGCACTCAGCATCTGGTGCGCCACGTACGCCGCGTCCTTCTCGACGTAGCGCTTCTTGCACGCCAGCCTGTCGTACAACTCCTTCCCTGAACGAACGACCAAACACACACAATAGACACACAACACACAATGAGTGACTGACGAACTCAGCCACTGTCTGCCTGCCTGCCTGCCTGTCTCTGTCATCATGCCCACCCAGCCACCTACCAGTGCACAGTTCCATGACCAGGTGGACGGCCCTGTCATCCTCGTAGACCTCGAAGAGCTTTGCGATGTTGGGGTGGTCGAGCGAAAGGTAGACGCTCACCTCGTTGTACAGCATGCTGGCCTTCTTGGGGCTGATGTTCTGCGTGCTGAGCGTCTTGATGGCGTACGACTTGCCGCTCTCCCGGTGCCGACCCACACGCACCGCACCGCTGATGCCCGTCCCAAGTATCTGCTCGTCCAGCTCGTAGTACTCGAACAGGTCAGCGCCCTTCTTGACACGGGTGTGCGACAGCGTTTGCTTGGATATCTGGTCGATGAAGCGGCCGCTGGGGATCTTGGGGGGGTTGTTGGGCGCGCCCAGGCTGCTCCCAGCGCCAGAGTCGTTCTGGCGGCCCGCCGTGGTCGACTCGTCCTCCTGCGAGGCCCCGCCACGTGACCGGTGCGTCCCGTTGGAGGTCTGCGGACCCTTCCGTGGATCCTCCACGTTCTTGTCCAGCTTGCTCGGCTTACAGCCCATCTTCAAAATCAATCGAGCGCCGGAAAGACAAGCTGGCGCCAGGGGGTGTCAGAGAGAGGGCTAATTCAGTCGCAGGGCATCATCAATATGCTCCGCATCGCACCAAAGCGGAAAAAGGAATTCCCAATGACCTGAGCTCGCACAAGAGCTCGCAAATGCCACGAGGGGTGAGAGTTACACCTCCTTTCTTATCGCAGCGGCCTTGATCACAATGACGCCTTGAAACAATCAGCAGCTGCCCAGCACCTTCCTTCGGCTCATTGTCCGAAGGAAGGCGCTGGGCAGCTGCTGATTGTTTCAAGGCGTAAAGTGTGGTTCGGCAGAAGGAGAGAGCCCATTGCTCGCTCCAGTATAGTAGCAGCACAGCTTGCATCGGCGTGCGCATCCATCCGTATCATAGCTCTTGAGAGGGCGCCGTCCGAATTGATCTCTTTGCAGAAGCGGGTAATTCATTCACTGACAGGCACACACGAGTGACCGCCTCATGCACACCACACATCGTTCCTCACTGCTCGCCGCTCACCGATAGCCTTGCTGCGGTCGAAGACGGCAGTGTATCTGTTTCAGCATCTATTGTGTTGTATTGTGTTGTGAAATCCCTCCCACCACCACCCCCCACTTCCGTAGATCTCTGGTAGGGTTGACTGACTCGGCTCAGGGTGACGGCGTCTGAGGAGCCATTCGTCAGTGCCCAATTCTGCGGTACAGCAGCGAAGCACAACACCTTAAACCAAGTCTGAGCGTTGTGCGTGGTTCTGCTGTGTGCAGGATTTGACAATTGGGATTTGATCATCGACCACAGCAGCCACAGCAGCAGCCGCAGCAGCAGACGTATGTCAAAGAGAATGTGGAGGCCCGCTTCCCGCCCAACACCAGCAATGTCACTAAGCGGCTCGTCCAGGGCATCGTCCGACCCCTGCATCGAGCAGCACTCGCGGCGTCGTATCACGTGATTGATTGACTGTGCCAGCACCTCAGCCCCACCCAGATCAACACGACAGCTCAGCCCTTTTTCCACCGGACGGCTTTGGGCATCGCTGCCATGACGGTCGCCGACTGGCAGCGTCAGGACCCGTCCGAGCAGCGTAATGAGACGATCAGCGGGATGCAGCGGGCCATCCGCACACTCCTGGCATCGGGCGCAGCCATCGACATGTGCCCGCAGCCATCGAGCCCCTATGGCGCCGTGTGCTGCGACCATCCGGTCTCGAGCGTGATGTCATCGACATTGGGACAGTGCTGGTGTGAGGGGTGGCGGTTGGGTGGTGTTGGTGGATTGGATGGGCTGAGAGGGTCTCTATGAGCAGGCGACATAACTGAGTGAAATGTGTGCCTGCCATGGGCGCATGGATATCGTAATCGTTCTTGAAAGACTCACATGAATGAGCGACTGATCAGCACGGTTCATCGGCGAAATGGAAATCCCTTGAGTGCTTTGCTTTGGTGCTTGGGCGGCCCGACACACACTGATGAGCACGATGCACGTGAGTTGATACTTTCACAGGAAGTCACCACAGACACACACACACACACAGAGAGAGAGAGAGAGAGTCCCCTTCATTCGTGTGGCTGTGAGGAAAGGGTTGTTCTGTTGATGAAGGGCTGCACTGAGACAGAAGTTTGATTGATGGAGGGGGTCTTTCCGTCTTCACACGTGCGTGTGTATGCGTGTCGACGTCCGATGCTGTTCGGTTCGGATGTGTGGGGGAGTGCTCATCTGTGTGCGCATCTGACTAATACATCGATTCATCAGCATAACCATAAGGCGTTTCGCACATTCCATTCACACCCACACAAATCACATGAACGGCAGTCAGTCAAGGAGCGGCACACAACGACCAGTGTTTGTTTCCTACTCATGCATACAGCCGGGGAAGGGACACGTCGGAACGGCTGTATGGCAGTCTCTCACCCTTCTGCATTGAACGATAATGAACCATCTTTACACAGGTGGCGAAGGCCATCATGCACCCCATAATATATGTGGCCGTCCTACAACACCATGCCCCCCAGCTGATCCCCCAGCACTCTCATCACGACAGTGAGCGTCTGGTCATGGGGGGCCGACTCTGTTGTTTCGATCTCAACATAGCGGTCCTGCCCCCAATCGGGCCAATGCTCCGTCAGCCGAATGAGTGTCATCTGCCCCTCGCCCATCGTCTCACTCCCAAACACCACCAGCCGGCAATGCCATCCGTCCTCCCGCTTTTTGTCAAATACGGCCGCCCTCCAGTGCGCCACATCGCTGTGAGAGGCCGCCAGTAGCTCACCCAAACGAAGGTACTCAGCAGAATCACGACGGTGAGTCGCCCAGGATCCGACCCGCCTGATCTGGCGGCCACAACGAAGCCAGCCGAACAGAATGAAGGCCACCATGGACGTGTAAGTGGGGTACAGGTAGCCAGCCAGCTGTGTGGGTGGGTCGGCGGGGTCGAATGCGGCATGAGGGAAATTGGGGCTGGCAGAGCTGAGGAGGGTGGGGAGCTGATAGCCATACGAGCTTTCGAGAATCGAGTGGCCGTCCATCAAGCGTGTCTGATGACGGATGAAGTCCACAAAGCGTGTCTGATGACCTCCCTGATTGATATTGATCCTCCAGCTGAGTATCCTCCACTGGCGGACCGCCTCCGTCTCACTCATGAAGGCCGCCCGCCTGCCGAAGACGCCGAAGTTGTCATCCCCCAGCACCAGTGGCCTCTTGAATCTCAGCAGATACAGTTTCTCCAGCACTGGTTTCCATCTGGCCCACTTGCCGCCCCTCTCCATCATCCACAGCCGCCGGCTGAGCTGTTTGATGAGGGCCCTGGTGGCCAACGTGACGGCCACCCCCTGAGTCAGCTGTGGGATGGGCACCTCCACCAACACACCGAGGCCGAGTGACGCCACAACGATAGGCAGCAGACGCATCAGAATGGGCAGTAGGACGTCAGGCGTAAGGGACACAGCCCGCACAGGTGAGATGGGCGGCTGGCGGTCGGTGTCGATGAGGCGGAAGTAGGCCAGCTGTGAGTAGCTCGTCACGTGTTGGGCGATCCTCGGCATCAGCGTCGCGACGCCCAACACGCCTCTGAGAGTGGTGTCCTGGTGGTGGTGGGGCTGCTGCTGCTGCGACGATGCACTGCTGGCACCTGCAACACAATCACACACAGCTGTGTGCCGGCATGACTGTGTCATTCTGCACTGAAGGGGTTGCTTACCATTGGCAGCGGCCGACGCAGCAGATGAAGATGGCCCGTCAGCTTTAGAGTCACCGGCTCCTTCACGAGCGGCAGCCGACATCTGCACACCTGCAGACAGACACAGCACAAACATCAGGTGATCAGGTGAGTGAATGCGAATGGGCGTAGCGGCCCTCTTGCCATTTCCACACAGACATCACACACACTGTCATTGCTGATGCCATCAGGCCCTCCTGCCCGCCCTATCTTACCTCAATGCATCAGATCAGCGGGAGTCAGACAGAATGGGCGGCGGCATCTGTGTGGATCGATGACATCACGACAGCTCTCCTGGCATCTCCCACACACTCTACACTGCCCTGCTGTCGCCAAGATGCCCCGAAAAGCGTCGTCCTGCAGGCTCGCAGATGGATCTGCTGTGTGCGATTTGATCATCATGTCGGCTTCTGCATCAGCCGGACAGCGACCAACCACAGCAGCCACAGCAGCAGCCGCAGCAGCAGACGTATATGATAGAGAATGCGGAGGCCCGCTTCCCGCCAGGCAGCATTGCTGTCGTTTCGTGACGGTCCGAGGAGTCAGCGGCCAGCTGCTGACGGAATAACGAGCTCTCACAAAAGATCAGGTGCGCAGGAAGACAGAAAAACCGACCGACAGAGCCAACCGTGCTGCTTGTGTTCGTGCAGACCGCTTAGCGTACTCTTAGCGTAGGTTCATCCACGTGACTGGCTCATCGGGGGTCACGGCGTCTGGAGCCATTCGTCAGTGCCAATTCTGAGGTGCGGCAGCGCAGGACAACACCTCAAGTGTGATAGCGACTGACTCTGCTTTGCTGTATGCAGGACTCGAGCATCATGTCGGCCTCTTCATCTGCCGAGAATCAGCCACCACAGCAACAGGAGATGAGGATAGAGAATATGGAGGCCCGCTTCCCGCCCAACACCAACGCGGCCACCAAGCGACTCGTCCAGGGTATCATGCGACGCACAATCACCCCTGACGGCATCCGACGGCTCGTCCGCAAGGGGGCCGACCCACGAGTGTGCATTGACCTCATCACCTCCTGCAAGCCTGGTCAGGTGCGCGTCGAGTGTTGGCACCGAGTGTGTCTGCTGACCCTGGCCATCGACGACTGGAGCACTCCCCCGGCCCTCGAGTGCGGCATGCAAATTGGCGCCATGGATATGAACTTCACCAATGCACGGCTGGTGCTGCCGCTGTGGCCATCGCGTGAGACGCAAGCGGCCATCCTGTCGGCTCTCATCCAGGAGGGCGTCTCGCTGAGTGGGCCACCCACACCACCAGCACCTGCTGCACGGACCTTAACGAAGTCGCTCGAGCCCATCGAGGTGGCGGTGCGTGCGGCCAACCTGACGGCCGTCAAGACCCTCGTGGCCAACGGGGCGGCTCTGCAAGGGCGGCGGGTGGCCTTCCTGCGACAGGAGCGCGGGGTGCGCTCGAGCGGGCAGTACGAGGCGGCCCTGATGGCCATGTTGGAGTACCTCGTCAAGCTCGACCCCTCCCTCGCTACCGAGGCGGATGACGATGGCTATAATGTCATCCTGACAGCAGCCGCTTCTGGCCTTACCTACTCGGACAAGTTCGTCATAGCCTACCTGCAGCTGATGAAGGACAACGGCGCCAGCCTCACGGTCCCACAGCCGCCGCCGATGTTTCAGCCCCTTCATTTGGCAGCACACAACTCGGCGCACCACGTAATCGAGTGGCTGTGTCAGCACCTCAGCCCCGCACACATCAACACAGCCAGAGGGGGAGGAGCCCACCGGACGGCTTTGGGCATCGCTGCCATGAGGGTCGCCGACTGGCAGCGTCAGGAACCGTCCGAGCAGCGTAATGAGACGATCAGCGGGATGCAGCGGGCCATCCGCACACTTCTGGCATCGGGCGCAGCCATCGACATGGTGCGGACCCCACAGCAGCTGCCGGCACACGCCACCCAGTCCGAACGAGATGCGCACGGTGTGGTGTTGGCCGAGTACCTCACCGTCCTCAACGACGAGCTGCCCCAGGCCGTCATGGACGGCGTCAACGGCGCCCTCAACCCCCAGCGTGACGCCGCCGACATGCTGACCCGCCTGCTGCCCCTCGCCCGCCCCGCCCCACCCACCAACCCCACTGACACATCCACTGCTGCTGCAGCACATGCCCCTGCTGCCCCCTCCCCATTTGCCCTCACGGATGCGACGGCCCAGGTGGCCTGGAAGATCGGTGCCTTCCTGCACGAGCCAGAGGCCATCGACACCATCATTCTCGGGCAGGCCGTGGTGGCCCACCGCATCAAGACGGCCATGCAGCACTTCGTCGAGTATGCGGCGACCAAGACGGCTTTCAATGAGGAGGTCATCGGCGGCATGGCCAGTGTGGGCGGCCAGGTGGTGCGGGTGCCCCTCCAGTGCTTCGCCGTCAGAGAGGGGTCGAGTGTGCGGCGGGTGGGTCTGCGCGAGGTGGTCCACAGGGCTCGGCTGGACGAGGCGGCCCGCTATGGGCTGACTGGTGTGGTCAAGGGCTTCAACACCCACCTGGGCAACGACGATTGTCAGTTCGGTTGGGGTCAGCTGGGATGGGTCAACGACATCGGCCTCTTCCAGCCGCTCGGCATCAAGTAGCCGGCCGAGGACATCATCATGACGACCTAGCAGAGAGGGGAGGGGGAGAGATGGGATGCATAGGCAGGTAGAATCGATTTTGGTGTTTACAGTGGGGTGCCTGGGAAGAGTGTGCATGTTCTGACACCATGTCAGACAGGCCGTGAGCCAGTCAGGCAGGCTGCCC